CGTCACAGAATATGCCCGTTTAATTGGTATCTCTTGACACGTGATATGGGTTGATGTAAAGTTTCAACCATAGCTGTCCTGTAGAAGTGTATTGGTAGGCCTTGGAAACATGCCGCTTTAACTGACGCAACACTGATGACGACAAGGTGACATTTTCACCTTTCACGACTTCCTGAAGTACCCGCAACGTTTCAACCCAGTCACATGATAGAAGGTATACTGGCTTTGAATACTGCACATTCGATATAACGCCACGTGAAAACGCTATGGGATCATCATGTCTCCACTTCAATTTTCATAGATGTGCATGCCAAATTTAAACCCGACCTGTATATTCAGGTGTTTAAAAATGTAAATTTAACCTGACCTAATGTGTCACACAAATTGACAAAAAAATCTTCGCTGACCCGTAATTAAATGGAGGTCTCCATGTGTCCCAAGCTTGAAGCCAAAAAGAACTTACAAAAAGTACCTCGGTCTATTTGGGTGAAAATATAGACACAAATAGCAACACGGACGTATGGGATTTTTTGTAAAGTACTGGATTCTTTTTTAATGGTGGTGAAACAGCTGTATCTTGGGATATCTGATTTTACGAAAAGGTTTGTACGGTATCCCAAATATGCCTCTCTAAATGCGTTTTTCTTTTGTGGGTCATGTTTTGGCGCGACATTAAGCACATTGACTCATAGCTGTTTAAAGAAAGAACTGCGACATGTGTGACTCAATTGTTGGAACCAAAATGGCGCATTATGCGTCACTGCATACGGACAATTAACACATAATACCGATAGCTGCGCACTGTACCAAAGACATAATGAACTGCCATTTTGGTTCCAAAGACTGAAGTTGGCGCTGCTCTAGTTGATGCAATCCGTCAACGACACTGCTGATAGTTACAAAGGTCGTAAAACAAAATGCTTACAATGACAATGTGTTCATATGTACTGTCAGTGTCCTATTTTCCACAATCACGTCAAAAGAACTAAAGCAATGGCTGTTTTGGCAGAGCTGCTGAAACAGCTGAAATTCTCCAACAATTGCTCCAGCATCCAGTGCACATAATTACGTTTCAACCTGACAACCACACTGTGTGTATGTCTTTGTATGCAAGCATGGATGTAAACGTACGTGAATGAGATCGGTCCGTATGACGACTGGCGCAGGACAATGCAGGGTTCCAAGGGGGGTGGTTCGATTTGTACCTGAAATTACTGCACAGTGGTATGTTGTACCGTAAGGCGATTGGTACGCTGTGACAGTACACGGGTGGCTCTTTTGCCGTGCACAAGGCCCAACTCTCTCCCCGGACCAAAATGCCGCAGAAACCGCCTTGCACAAGGCGACTCTATGGCGCTAATGGAAACCAATGTGTCTGCAGCGAGGACCGTGACGGTAGCTGCGAATTTAAAACAAGGTATCACTGTTCCCCTACAAGGACGCAGAGTGGATAGGACACCGGCCTACTCCTAAATGAATCTAGAGGGCGCTGTATATCGCCAGCTGTGAGTACAAACAGTAAACTTCAAAAAGAAATTCAAGGAATAGTCTCAAAGAAAATCTGGGTGAGAAACCAAAAGAGAAACTATGAATTATTATGTTTTTAAGGAGGGACTGTATGAAGGTAGAAACAGGATTATTTATTGTTGAGTACAGGCTGTTTACAATTTTTGACTTTATACGTAATTATTGTAATGCATTTTGGGACTAAATTAGTTGCCCGTCCTTCCATTAATGTGTATGCATATAGGAAAGTCTCTATTTATATTGTGACGATCGCAGGTTGTCCTTTGTTTAAGGCACCGCACAGCGATCAGTGATCCAACGTTGCTTCACTGACACTTGAACCTGCTTAATGTATAGAGCGATCCAGCTTAGGGATCACTGACTCAGATCCAGATCAACAGGCCGTTATTTCTGCATGGAATTCGATTCGTTGGGGGCGCTCTTCGTTAGTGCTGCTCATCAGTTTGCCGTCTCTGCGTACAAAAGTGAAATGATGATGTCCCTGAGAAAATGATTCTTCCAATGGGGTTGAATTTATATAGATCAAGGGTAGGAGCAGGAATAAAAATAGGAGGAACCTCACCTATCTTCAAAATTGCAAAAGTTTTATTTGTTTCTTTGTTTGTCTTTTTTTCCTATCTTCAAAATGAGAACATGGTCTCGTTTTGAAAGTAGGAAAAAACGATGGTTGCAACCATTGAAGTTCCAATACTTTCCATAGACTATAAGCACGTCTGATTTTTCTTTCTGCAACAAAGACGTCTGCACATTTCCCTTAATTTGAAAAAAATGGTGGTTGATCGTAATGCTCATGGTTAACAGGTACAACTACGGCGCCTATGAACAGTGAAAACATTAGTTAACAAGTTCAGCATCACCCGCAGGACACTGTCAAGCCACGTTGGTTCAGGGGGCAATTATTTTAGTTGATGGGCCAATTTATAAAGAATCTGAAGCAATTCTCCATACAATTTTGTTTGACAGTTCCAAGGCTTAGCTTGGATTTCCAGAAGTGCAATTATGACATTGATACTGTTTTGGCAACTGTTTTGGGCATTTTGAAACTTAACTGCGTTTTGAGCTTCGAATAACCTCCAAAATAAAGACGACATAACTTTGCCATTAAAAGAAAGTAACATCGGCTCAACACCTGCCAGGTTCCGACAGAGAAAGAGGGCATGTGGGCCTGCGGTTAGGGTCTGTATAGTTTCTGATCATAGGATCGGAGGTTTGAATCCAGCTGGTGGCGACATGTTGTGATCTTGGGCAAGTCACTTAAGCCCCATGTGCTTCAAACTGTCCACCCAGGAGTAAATGTGTACCTGTATGGGCAGATTTGGTTAGCCGTGTGTGCCTGATATTGCAGCATCAGCTAGTATACTCCCCAGGGAACTGAGATGGTTTCAGGAATGTTCAGTTGTTGTGAGCCCAGTGTGCAGGGGTAATGGTAATAATGCGCAATGTTACTATTACTACACGGCCGAAATACGTCGTTTCAAACTGAAAAGAAAATGTGATTTGATTGCTGATGCCACAATGACATCACATTTGTGTGGCATCCAGAGGTGAGGAGTAATTTTCATCTTCACCCTCTTGAAGAAAATGGCGGCGTACTTGGGTACAGAATAAAGGGTGGAACGGCTGGCTTGTGTGAAAAGCGCTCGCCTCTGACCATTCGATTCCCAGCCACGATGAATTTTTTTTCTCCTATCCCGTCCGTTCGATTTTTCCTCCCTCCCCCAAATTTCATTCTATAGATCTCTGGCTGTCCTCCGTGGATGCATGTTAGTCTTTTGGTGGCTGCCTAAAGGGCGCCTTTACATTACATTCTGCTCAACCGAGTTGCGATTTAGCGTCTTTATTGTACGGAATTCGCACTTAATTAGATAAATGTTATTATTTTCATTAATATTAAAAAGGAAAAGAGACTAAAGAAAGTGAAGGTCATCGTTGGAATAACTTCTTAATGACACTAGCTCCCTGCAATTAATTTTGTCCTATTCAATAACTTATGTGTTAAAAAATGACTGAAGAAAAATATGAAAATACATATAGACAGAATACACAAATGAAACACTACCCTGTCGCTACTTTAAATTTGATTTGCCGAAGGAAGCAGCATTTTGAAAAAAACAAACGAAGCCTCTCTGCAAGTTTCTGCAACAATTTCCCCTTTGCGCATATCAATCAAGCCAGGTGCTATTTTGTCATCACAAAGCTACGCAGGATTTCCTCGTACTCGGAGCAGGTTAGGCCCACGTTTTTTTCACAGGTCGCCGCTTTCCTTGCCTCACAGAAGCTCCAAAATGATCACCGAAGTGACGTGGGCTATACCCGGGGCAGAATTCACGGGGATAAGGGTAAAGTCACTAAACACTACTGATAATGGAGCAGTTTAATCGAGTTACGGTCCAATTTCTTTTCATCACTTTGGCGGATAAAGTTGCCATTAAAAGTCAATCGCCCCTTGACGCATACCGCGGGGATGAAATTAGCCACACGGGCCTAATCCAATCTTCACAGCGGAGAGAAGGTCCCTTGTGCGACTTGTCCCAGAACGGCACCATCAACGCCAATCAAAAGAAAGTTCCCAGGTAGACGCTGAAGACAATCAACCCCGTTTTGGTGTTACGAAGAAATTGATGAACTCGCTGACCGTTCAGGGGACGGATGAGAAGAGGGCAGAGCCAGAACAGTAATCCCTTTTCTGATTGTGGGCTGGACTCGTTGTCGATGTCCAGCTCCAATTCAGCTTGTCATTTTTTTTTCTTTCGTCTGACGTTGCGGGTTTTTCATTGGCCGACATCTCCTAGCCCGCTCCACCCTGAATTAAGTTTCTCTCCCCCAGCCGTCGGTTCATGTCGTTCGTTTTTGAGGGGATGTGATCACCTTGATTCGATTAGCGCAAATCGAGGCTGCTAATGAGCATGAATTTTTTTATTCTGTCTTAGGACTGAGCAATTTGATCACCGCCGATCGGGGAACCAATTGCGAAGCGGTCGAAGCAACGAACGGTCCTCGAAGAAACAAAAAGGTTTTGTCGCCTGATTGATACTTGCAATATAATTTGAACCGTCTTACCCTGCGTTGTCTGCCACGTACGTCCTTCTGATAGCCATTTTGCATGTTCCAAGATTGAATAATCTTCACTAATAAAGGCTAAAACGTGGACATTGCCACTTGTCTCACACAATTCAGAGTGTACGGTGGACCATCATGGAAGAACTCCAAGCATTCGTCACGAAATCGTTCGAATCTTCAGAGACGCCAAAACTCGGCCCCAACATCATCTCAGTCAAACGAAGTCTGCCGAAGTTCGACACGACCGCCTGGCTGAACGCTATCGGGGAGTCCACAGCAGTGCACCGGCGGCCTGTCAAGTCGGCCACAGCGGGGAAGACACGGCCGACGGGCGGGGCGATCGACCACACCGAGCCTCTCCCGACATCGGCTGCGGTGCAGGCGGTGCCCGTGGCTGCCAAGCTGCCCTCCTTCCCCATGACACTCTTCGGGCCCGGCGATTCTGATTTGGCGAGAGATCGACTGGCACTTTTCAAGAGAGGAACACCACACCTTAGCAAGCCGTCATCTGCAAAACGGCCCAAGTCGACCACAGGTTGGTTATTTTCCGCTCTATTTAGAACAAAGAAAAGAAATGCACTGAAAGACTATTACATGATAAGTTGATAACTCTCGAAGACTATTTTTAGAAAGTAAATCCAACGTTCGCATCAGAGTCACTTCTGTGATTACAATTTCGATTAGCTTGTGAGTTCGTACAATACACGCATTTGAGATTTCGTTTTCTGACACTTTCATGGTCTCTTGTTAGCCTGCATGATCCGAGTCTTCTTATTTTTCCAGACAAAAATATTCTGGGTTGAGGGCCAGTTTAAGACTCTTTCATCATTTTTCTTTACCTAAACTTCTTTGAAAGTACGATGTAGATTTGGCATTATCTGTTACATAAGGTCACAGAAGACTTTTAGACAGCAATACTAGATTTGTTGCATTTGAGCCCTTAACCCTGAAGAATGGCATGGATTTGCCGCCAGTAGATTACAGTTTTCAAATCATGAATTCAAAGAAATGTACAGAAAATGGACACATCCGCATTGCATCTGCATGTAAAGTTGTAGTTCCGTCAGACAGGGCAGGATTGTTTGTATCCTTGTATTTATCTTATGGTCAACCGTGAAGGCTTTTCTGAGTGCGCTGTCAGTGAACAAACTTAATATTTCCACCACTCTGAGCTTGAGCATGGTGTCGTAATGGAATGTGTCCATTCCTGTGGCGTAAATCGGTAATTTGGCAGATTGGGGGTCGCGAAAGGTGGGGGAATGACTTGCCCAGCCGTGAAGATTTGAAAAGCGGGGCGTGACACCATATGGCTTTATATGATCGATGTTCATGTTATTGATGTACACCTGGACTACTCTGCATTCAAAATGCTCTCTTTATGGCTTTTATAAAATTGTTTTTCCTTTTTGTAATGATACTGAATGCATTTTAGTCGTTGGAGGTCTGAAAAATTCTTCTCAATCCGCTTTTAGATTTTGCTCACCAAAAATTGGGGGGGGGGTGATTCAATAGCCCACCCCGCACTTCAAAAAGTTGGGGGTATATACCCCATCCCTCCGGGATTTATGCTCTTGGTCCAATAACTTTCAAAACCGGAGTTAAATCATGCACGGCATCAGCCAGAAGAACTCTCGAAGGCATGAAATAAACTTAACGATAAAGATGACGGCACCGATGTAGAAAATGCAGATGGTGGTTTCCAGTTATTGGAAAAAGTTTTAAACCATACATTTCAGAAAAGAAAAAACACGGTAGTAAGTCGCCTTGGGAAGATGTCAGCAAAGTCAGCGAACCCCAGCAAATCACTGAGGATGCCATTTCCCCTGTTGGCCATGAAGACGAAGATGTCGACATGGACACGGACCCTGACGAGGACCTGGCCCTGCACGAGGATGCCGACATCGCGGCGGCCGAACAGGAGGATCGCGCGGGGGTCCCATCGCGCCAGCCCCGAGAACCGAAGGAGACGGTGTCCGGTAGTCCCTCCCCGGTCCAAGGTCTCATGGCCAGCCATCCCAGCAAGCTGAAGCAGCGCCGGAGCCGGACCAACTTCACCGTGGAGCAGTTGGGGGAGCTTGAGAAACTCTTCGATGAGACGCATTACCCAGACGCGTTCATGAGGGAGGAGTTGAGTCGCAAGCTGGGCCTCTCAGAGGCCAGAGTGCAGGTATGAAAAAGAATCGAGGACAAAAGTTGCATAATAGATAGTTTTTCTGTTGGAAAAATGGAAATGGAGCAGAGATGAGTTACACAAACTCGTTAAATACCACATACAAACATACGGATACCTCCAAACAAAGTTTTTTTTCACTTAGGATTTTCCAAAATTCCCGCTCCTAAACCGTAACAAAGGTAAAAATTGGAAACCTTGTCATCAAACTGCAATGCCCAAATTAAGCTTTTCAAAAGGAGACGAAAAGGTGGACATGATTACAAATCTGTTTGCTTCGTTTAAGGTTGATGTGACCTTCATGCAGCTATAGTGCATTTCCAACAGTTAAAATATGTCATTTCAATCCCCATGACAATTTTAGATGATTTCAGTAGCTTGAGAGAAAATTCGGTAAAGCCTTTTGATTAAACATTCATTCTGTGTCCCAATAGTGTGACGTACACTACTGAGAGAGAGAGAGAGAGAGAGAGAGTATTTTTGCACTCTTCTGAACTGTTTTTTTAGATCTGATGACAATAAAACCGTTGAATAATTGTTGATATATTGCACAGTCACGGTGAACACAATATCGCCGTAATTAGAGCAATCGACCCTGAAAACTTAAATATAGTTTTCGTATTCTAATGTGTACACATAATTTATATACATTTTAGGACTCATCTTCCTATAACTGTAGACACTTCGACTGAGTACAGGAGCATGGCCAATGGGCCGCGTCGTACAAGAGAAAAATACCCGGATAGTGTTACAGTTTTGTTTTCACTCCTCAATACTGATGAATTCATGTTGGGCATAATTTGTTCAAACAGCTTGTTCTCGTGATTTTTATGTACACGCTACCCAAAGGCTTTAGCATTCGTTAACCATAGAAACGTTGGTTAAAGACAATGAACAACTGTTCAGCATGTCGCTGTAACTAACGTTGGGCTTTACCTAAACGAGAATTGGAACCACTAAGAATTCCATTGTTTTAATTAAGAAATACCTCCAATTTCTGAGGCTATACATGATGAAATCGTTCATTGATCACAAAAAAGGGAAATCAAACTTTCCAATATTAGTTTTGTGTTTGTTAAAGATTGATTATTTTAATATGGATGACATTCAGAAGTTAGGCCAAAATTAGTCTCAAAGAACACGTTGAAGAATGTGCCCGTTATCATTCATGCTTCTCCACATTCCTAGGTCTGGTTTCAGAACCGAAGAGCCAAATGTCGTAAGCAGGAACACCTTGGAGGGAAAGGTAAGGCCATTTTAAGCATTTCATTTGGCACTGGAAATGGAATTTTCGTTTTTATGGCTTGTAAACGCTTGTCCCAATTTGTAACTGCCGTGATGCGTAACCAGTCAGTGAAAGACCGTAAGAATTCATTGCACGTTAGTGTTACTTTCAATGACCAAAAAAATCATTTATTTCACAATTTGAATTTTCTGAGCTTAGTGAGACCAAGACAAGAAAATACAATATGATTTTAGCGAACCACCAACTTCAAAGGCAAGCGTTTTTAAACGTCCATCATGCTTTAAAAATACACAATGTACAGAGGAGGTCACGATGTTTTGATCTTTGAAGAGAGAAAGATAATATTAAACATGAACGGTGTAGAATGTTAACATATCAAATCGATAAGCATGAGAGAAGTTAGACTTCAGTTTTACTTCTAAGGGGTACCAATTTGTTGTCAAACTTTTACCGGTATCAGCCAGTATAAGAGTTGACAAATTGTGTTCAAATCAACCAACAACCGAGGTAGCTTTTATGCTGAGGTACTGACATTCCTCTAACTCACATGAGCATAATATTTTCTCTCCAACGTGAGCCTATTATTTTCTCTCCAACTTCTGTGCGGTGCAATCGGGGTTGATTTCAGATTAACTTGCAACAGAATTGCTTTAAATTTAAAGTTCTAGTGAAATGTTGACGTATGGTGCAATGTACCACACCGCGAGTACCATTTTTAGAACAAACGTAACAGTTGTTTTTACATATCTCGTACTATTAATCGTGGAAGAGTCTTTCACTCCCAGCAATGAGAACACAGTTGTTCACTTCTTTCTTCACGGCAACACGGCATTCAAGTAAGGTGTACGGGCGACATTGAGCGAGGTGAACCCACTCACCCATTCCCTGGACGTTTCAGAGCAGCCACGTATAGAGGACTGGCTCCTCACAAACAGGTCATGTAAAAAAAGCCATACATAAGCGACAAAAATAAATAATAAAACTAATGAGTTGAAATATTTCCATAGATACAGTTCCATAGAACTATAAGCCTTGCTAGGAGTCCTTTATAACAATCTCTGTAGCGAGAGAGGCTTCCTGGCATTCGGGGGGATGCTACAGTAACAAAAAAAATGAAAAGACTTAAATTTTCTGCGTCACTTCGTTTTCAATATTCCAATTGGTCATCACACTGTACATTTCCTCCGACTTTCTCACTTTTTTTCAGAAATTCTAACCAAAAGTCCAGTTGTCAAGTTCGAAAATTTTCCTTTTGTACACCCCCAAAGAATAAAAGTCACTTTTGAACCGCCGTGTTTGTAGTCGGTTGAAAAAGATTGTTATGGTGCTGAAATATCAATGTAATTGATTGCTCTGCGAATGCCATTAAATATTAACACGAACTGTGTAAATGAAGGTCGTCACCTTTTTATTTTGTTTCGTTGGTTTTCTTGTCTTTGTTGTTGTTGTTGTTGTTGTTGTTGTTGTTGTTATTGTTGTTGTTGTTGTTGTTGTTGTCAATTCGCTTTCTTTTGTACTTGTTCATTTTATTTTATGTTGTTTTTGTTGTGCTTTGCTTGTGCACCGATTTTATGACGATGTCAGCTTTCTGTTTCTGTTCATGTGTATGGGACTTGTACTTTTCTGCACTGCTTCCTTCCTCTTTATGGTCTTACCAAGACGTTCTGACCCCTGCGCCCGCACTTAACCAACCCCTGATGACATTGATGAGATTACTACCACAAAGGCCAGGGGTTGATAATTGCATCAAAAACGCTCTCGCCTCATAACAGAGCCCAATTTCACAAAAGTAGGCACGGATTATCCCCCAAGCTTGTATTCCCGACTTGAAAAGAAGTCAAAGGCGAGCGTTGCTGATATTTAATCCCAGCGTCCGAGAGCACAAGAAAAAAAGGCTAATCCAATAGAGATATTTCGCGCGCATGATTGAAAAATTGTATTTTGTGGTGTGATTGTGGCAGCCATTGATATCGCAATGGGCCCCTTGCCACAACCCAGACACAGCCAGGTTAAGCTTTGCAATTGATGCGAATTTAACCATGTCACAAGTCTTGTGTATCGGACGACAGAGTCAAAATGTCAAAGTATTAGTTTACGTGGCAAGGAAATGGAAAAAAAAACAGTGATTTTAAGGACACATTGAACTTCCTCTGGGCTCAGACGTTTTATGTGACCGTAAATTTGAAAAATGCCAGTGGAACGGACCGACGTTTTTTCGTATTTCGGCCATGCAACCATGCTAATGTTGAATTCTCTGCAAGCAATTGTGTTTTTTGTTTTAAGACAAACACTATCGAAGCCTATACTCTACACTGTCATACATCTGATCCATTTCCGATATTATTATTGCATCTGTAAAATGTTGAAAAGAGATAAACCAAAATACTACGAGAGAAATATTGTAGTCTGAACCCTTAAGACTATCAAAAGCCCCCTCCCACCCACACACACCCAAGACATGCAGTCTTAATTCAAGTCGCAATCCAGCTGTAACAAAATCCTTTCTTTGTCATTATTCGCTCTGCCACTCATGACTGGCTTGTGAACAGTCTTGTTAATCGTTTTGTGCCTGATTTTGTGACAGTTTTACCTGCTACTGTCCAGTTGGCGTCTTATCTTATCTGTTATTAAAATGCGTGGCCAAGGGCCATCTTGTATTAAAAAGCTAACAACCGGAGTAACGATAGGGTACAACACCAAAGCACACTCATCACCGTTTGAGAAAGAGAAAGATTTTATTGTCGTTTACTCCCGAATTTACAAAAAGTACACCTCGCCCTTACAACGTATCTAAAGGAAATCTCAAAAAAGAGGAAATTATCCTATGGCTATATGGGTCAGTGCACTTGATGACACCGCTGCCCACTGCGGCCGGCCTCAAGTCTGTTCATTATCTAAGAACTCTGCGATGAAAACAGTATTTCGTCTTTTCGAAATCTCAAGGGCGTGAATTCCCGTGAAGAGAGGGGGTATAATCCTCCTGAGTGGGAACGAGGATGATGCCAATTACCTACATCACTACCCTTGTGCTTTTATGGGTACTTACAAAATGATGGATAAGAGTCGGGTCCCTTTTCAAATGAAGAAAAAAGTGTGAGGCCATACCTGAAATTTTAGAAGTAGTCAGGTTCCTTCCCATTTCACACTGTTCAGCAAATAAAGAGGATTTGAGGAACACTATCAAAATGACCCCACATGACAAAGTGACCTCAGTGATCATTATTTTCTCGCATTTTTTTGAATGCGTCAGATTAGACGTAGGCCGTCAATGAGTTGAATAAAAACCAAACCAAACGTTTCGAAAATATACATTAAAAATGGAAAACTTCGAGGAAAGTGCATCAAAGAAGTCAGAAAGTACAGCAAGCTAGCACGTAAGCCATAATTTTCGGAGGTGATTAAATTAGCGAAGTGGAGTGGAGCTGCAATGAGCTGGCCATGCCTGCTGTATTGATTGGTCAAAGTCCTCTGCCGTTCGAAGACAAACTCCTCCTAATCCCCTTCTGAGTTCTTCTCCTTTCTCTCGTTTTTTCTACTCTGCCGGGAAGCCTTTACGTTTCCCACCCTATTTCTTCACTACACTGTTCCAGCAATTGGATTAGAGCTTCGACTAATAGCAATTTAACGACCTCTTAATTGACACAAAATTCACTTAGGCGTCCTTTTCGGGGGCCATAGTAAATTAATAGCACATCTCAAGCGGATTTGGGCTTCTCGGATCGAATCCAATTTAAGGAACCTCTAAAATATCCTCTTTCTGAAACCTAGAGCTATTCTGTGCCCTTCAAAAAGTCTGTAAAACTAAAATGTTTAACCGGATTTGCACACACTGCTTTGGAATTGAAAATACGCAATTAACTTATTTCTTTCTGATTGACGTTTGCAAATTTTGTCGGTTTATTGAAGGCAGACAGATCGACGTATTATATCCATATATTCTGTTGTTTAAATTTCATGATAGTAATCCGATAAATAAGGCATCAGTCCGCAGGCCTGAGGCGTTCTTAGCGAGCTATGGTATCATCCGTAGTTGCATTACACACTTAACACGTTGTTAATGATATTTTGATAAAAGTCCTCTTCCGCGAAGCAATTACAAGTTAATGCGCAGTTTACGAGTTTGCAGCGGTAGCCATGCCAGCCGGAGAGCCTAATGGGATTACGGCCGCATACGCAAATACCCCGGCTCTCATCCGCTGCGCGTGCGCTTATTATTAAATGCTGAAGCCCCGACCCCTGCAGTGATTGAATTTCGCGAAAGGCAATTTAAATCAATAGGAATAATTTCGCGCTTTCCGATAACTCACAAGCGCGCACTTTTCTCAAATATATCCTGGTGGGTTCGTCAGAAGTCATTCTCCCCCATTTTCAGCTGTATGTAAAAAATATACATTTTACTCTTTTTTTTTTTCATTAAGTAAGGTCCCAGGACCCCATAGTGGTGCTTGAATGTTTCCAGGTTTCACCACAATCATTCGCTGGTTTTAGATGCATTTTGATTGTTTTATTATTTGAAAAAAAAACTCTCGTCAGCAGATTTTCACTTAAATAGATATAACGGAAGAAAACGGTAGTCGAAATACTTTAGTAGCAGAGAACTGTATTACAATGAACAGTTCTCAGTCTTCTTTGGGGGAAATATGCAACACTTTTTACTGGTTTTGAAACAAACTTGTTCACACAATCATGGAGGATGTATCTTATACAGAACTGTATGGTTGAAGTGGTAAAGTCATTAGATCTACAATATTTCTGTTCCAGATCAAAATGTTATCAAAGGAAGTGAAACAAACACAAACATTGTTGAAAGTATATTAGAATGTAAATACTGTTTTAGATTGAACCAAACCCTTATGTTCCCAGTCAAGCAGAGTTCAAACAGACAACTTCGTGATGGAGGGTCGGAATTAAATTACCTTAATATAATCGATGAGTTATTGGGGTCTATACCAGCTGTAACTAAAGTGTCAGCGTGTGCTGTAGATATTTCACCACTTGGTAACAAATGATAAGTAGCCTGACCTTTTTTTAGAATGCAATGGTAGTTTTGCGATCTGTTCTTCCTTCAAACGATTAAGTATTGACTTTAGTTCAGTATTTACTTTAGAAACAAAATGAGCCTACAGCAAAAAAACAAACGAACAAACAAACACCCCAACACCCCAACAAACAAGCAAACAAAGACGTGGCGAGATACACTCCTATTTCAAGTCTTATTATACGTTGTGCATGTGGAGAGAAATAGTCCAAAAATCTTCCCAAAACTTAAAACAACGGACAATGCTCCCTAGGGGGTAGTGCCCCTCCCAGTCCCCTTGATCCGCCAATAGATGCAAAGCCATAGAGCAGGAAGATGACATCCACAGGTGCGTCCTATACATTCTAAGTATTTTCCGTTCAATCTCCAGTCGTCTTCTTGTGTCTGTCGCATTTTTTTTTCGCTGTGGAAATGCTTGGAGGCGCACCTGGTCGGTTCAGACGTAAACACCGGGGCGGTGAGCGGCAAGAGTGGGGATTGGTAAATGGTTGGGAGCCAAGCAGGGCTCTGGATATCGATAACTCAATGACGGCCTGAGAATGGCCCCACTGGATGGTTCTCCGAGTTCCATTCGAGCGCTTCAACTTGATGCCTGGATGCTCCTGCAGAGTTTCACTAGAGTAAAACCGTGCCCAAAATGTCAAAGTTTTAATAATCCTGAAGGGGGAAGAACCGATCCCCCAAGCTGCCTTGGCTAAATTGTCACCTAATGAAAATTAATCTTCATTATTTTCACTTGTCTCGGTTGCTACATCCCACACATCTTAAGGCAGTTTACTTGCGCCCGACTGCCATCATCCAACACTCATCATTCGATTATCTCCTCCCGTTGAGAGACTCTCCCCTCTTTTGCTTACTCAATGGCCTGCGACCGAAACACTCCTTTGCTTCCCTTATAATTGAATCAAAATATTTCATCCAATTCAATCTTCGCGGCGGGGAGAGGGGGCTTTATGTATATGCAATCTCCGCGCTAGACGGGCAAGGAGGGCACCAAGATCCCCGTCATCAAGTCCCGCCAGGGAGCGCACCGCCAGCGCTCACTTGGCGGGGAGAAAGGTGCATCATCGCCCCGCGGCTCCTGACGGCAGGAACCCGGTCAATAGACTCTGGCTCGCTGGAAGAAGTCGCGCTTATTGAATTAACCGCCGCGGATCGGATGCCGGGTTCTGGTCGTGTATCAGTAATCAAATCTATTTGATTAGAGGACTCATCGATTTAATTCATTAATGGGACCTCTTTTTTTATTCCACATTAGACATAGACAATAACAGCAGATCGCAGAGTCAACCCTTCACCAATATCGAGGTTCAAAAGCCATTTTGGCCGCAACCTCACATTCTGCAAGTGAATCGCGCTACATAAGTCTTCGTTTGCAAAACTGTTTTTGCCACTAGGCGGGCATGCAGTGACGCATGTTTGAATTGTTTTCTTCCATGAATCACTCTGTAGGCCTCTCCTGCAATCTTGATGCGCCTGAGATATTTTTTTCGTCAACATTTTACTGTTTTCGTTCTTGTTTTTATGGACTATGTGACTTCAGTTGTTCAATGATATCATATTATTCTTGACTCCTCTGCATTTGATTTAATTAACCTTTTGAAATAAAGGAGTTTTTTTAAATTTCAAAACATAAACTCGATTAGTAGCTGCTTGTCTTGTTCCTATTCGTTTCTTTTTAAGGACCCAATCGTTTAGATGATTCCGTCCAACCGCAAATGCTCATGTTTCTTGCAATACGTTCAGACCTTCACAGCATCAGTACTCTGCAGTCAGCGCAGTCCACTTACTGAATTTTGTTATTCCAAATCTCTCTGCGCAAACAAACCAGAATGCTCGTACATGTGGTTCTTTGTACCTTTTCTGAACAGGGATTTATTCAGTTTAAAAACCAACTGAAGGGAGGGTGGGTGGTCGAATGGGATCCAAATTCCCCACCAAAGGGCCTATCCCTATCCATGCAATCACATTTTAACAGTGCCGGGCCAATTTCCTTTTAAGCTGTCACGCCTCTAAACTTTTGTAAACAATGTTTAATGTATAGAATTTTTTTTTTGTTCGTCTTCCGTTTTTACAGGTACCCCCATCGGAGCCAGTTCCAATGTGGACACATGCCGCGTGGCACCTTACCTCAGCATGGGATCACTGCGCATGCCGTTCGACAGGGTGCAGGAGCAACTGCAGCTGAACTTGACCACGACCGTGACGGCTGCACCGTCAGTACCGCGCCCTCTGCCGTCCATCTTCACCCACGCCCCGTCGCTGATGATGTTCCCACCGCCGGCCTACGCATTCCCGCTGGCCACGCTGATGAGCAGCATGATACGGCCGGGCGGCGGCTCCAAAACCTCCTCCATCGCCGACCTAAGGATGAAAGCGCGCCAACACGCGGCAGCCCTAGGCCTGCATAGTTTCTTGTCTCAGTGAATACGCAGAACGATCGATCACGATTGTAGGCAGCCGTAGTATCATTCTAATGTTCCTTTGAGTGGTCGTAATTACGACGTACTGACCATTGCTGAATGCAATTTTCATTGTTGATAGATAAATAAATACACATTTTCTTTATATTTTGTAAAGTTAAATAACAAAATATGTGTCATAGGCTTCAACTGGAAAGCAACCCTGACTGAAATATGTTTTATTTCACTTCGAGATATTTTGCACTTTCTGCTCCAGTATTTTCAAGGTCAAGAACGGGGTCCAATCAATTAAACATGGAAATGAATACGCCATACAGTAGCACATTTCTTTCATTTTAAATAAATCTGATGTACTTTCCAATATAGATGAAGCAATTCTGAACAGCACACACCTTTTTTCAACCATCCAAGTCTTACTATCCTAATCCTTTGCGGAGTGATATAATTATAAAGAGCCCTTGATTGGTTCAGTTCATTTATTTACTTTCCAATCCAGTTTTCCACCAGTTTAATTTCAAAACTAATTAATTGATATTAGTGGTGGAAGTCCGACAAGACACAAGTTCTAAGCGACACCCATTACCTGCGTATAGCACGCTTGGAAACTTCTGTAACATGAGTTCACTCGTAGTCTATGATAGTAAATCCGCATATAATATTACGGATCACAAAATAGGCGTGTCAGACGGACACAAACAAATGATGACATGATGAGGCTGGTGCCATTCAGTAGCGGTTGTAAACATATCCCAACGAAAGTAGAGAACTGGGCTTCAAAACATTGAGGGGATCGTTATGTTTGAACTGTATACACCCAGACGTCTTTGCATGATGGATATAACCGATGGTGGGTTGGACCTCTTTAACTCATCATCATCATCATTGAGCATGGACCACACTGAGTGGCGAGCCAACTGAAGGCAGACACATCTCTCTCTCTCTCTCTTGTCGCCTGCCAATGACCAATAGCCAGTGATGATGTGACTCCCGATTGCCTACATCGGAGTGCCAATTTTGTACTGTGCACATACAGTTGCAAATATCTTAGCTTAATTAGCACCAATGTAACAGCCTTATTTACGAAACACATGATTTAACGAAAAAGTAAGTTTTTTTCTCGTGGAACCCTGCACTTAAATTGAAGAATCTAAAATAAGCCAGACTGAAATAATGCTTCCTTTCCGCACGTTTTGACATCACACTTGTTTCAGTATAGTACCAATATTGATCAAGCAGTTGTCATCTGAATGCTACAGGACACAGATTCCGTTGCTACACTTAGCCCAAATACTCATGAATTAAAGAATGACATGTGAAATGTCAAGATGTGCGGAAAGAAATACTGGTTCCACACCACTTGAATATATCCTGGTGGATTTTCAGAGTTAAATGCAGGGTCCACAGTAAAAAGTGGAAACTGACATTTTGTGACGTGCACAATTCATTTCCGCATCACGCCAAATGGATTCACACTAACCGAAACTTATTGCAAACTGTGGAGCATTTGTGGAGGGATGGGACAGACGGGGGAGTAGGGGATGAGAACCAAAGAATTCAACAAAATTTAAAAAAAAAAAAAATTGATTTACTCTAAATTTAATTTCCATTCACCGTTTCATATTGAAACTAAACCCCTTGACGTCATCACGACGTCAGCAGTCACGCAGTGTGGACCAGCAACGCATGTAATTTTGAACCAGTCACTGTAAAGCATAATCAAGCTTTATCCTCTTGTGTGTAAATGTGTTTATGTCTGTCGATTAAAATATGTAAATAAAACTCAATCTTAATTAGCTAAATGGAATAAATCACCGTATGTGAAACAATATGCATAAAATAATGAATTTGTTTGTACATTCCTTCTTACGTGGTCAGGGGCATTCAGTACTGATTTGAATAATTTAGCGTTTACTTTGTTGAATTATGATATCAAGGGGAACCCGTAAATAATATTCATCAGAGAGAGTGACATCCGTTGGGTATAGGGTACCTCAAAGTAAGGAGATATATTTTGCACCTAAGTGCCTCTATGACTACTCGCCTAAGCCGAGCGCACAGCCTCTTTCTTTGTCACTGAGTTACATCTACCTTCAAGTGAATGATGAAATTATGACCGGCTGTTGGTAGAAACTTAAAGAAAGGAAATTTGATGTAAGTCTTAAATATCTCATGCAGTTATCAAAACACCAATTAGTATAATATTGATGCAATGAAAATGCAACCTGCTCTAAAAACAATGAGGCGAATACCTGTGGGGATAAAGTATAACACCAATCAGTAGCGAAATCCTCTGCAAACGTTTGCTCCCCATGCAAACAGTCTAAGGTCCAAAATGCTTTCTACAGTGCTGCTTAATACTATTAATTGTTCAAAAGATTGTATAGGGGTTTCAGGGGAATTGCCCCCCCCCACGGATCCACCCTTATTTCGTGGCAGACGGCATGTCCGCAAGAAGACACACATACGTACCTTGAAAATGGACTTGGTCACGTGCCGAGTTCATGTCTGGGTCCTTCTCCGAGCATTTTGCGACTCTTCTCAACCCACGTACAGCGTCACATTTCCGACGCTCTACGGGATACACCTTGTATATGGACTTGGGAAAAGGACTCGACTACATGTGGCGTTGTACAAATTGGTAACAGACTCGGAGCCTTTCCCCAAGGTCACTAGAAGAAGTTCTTCTTACCCGACCTTAAGCATATTCTCTGATTGAACATCTGGTTCTGAGCCGAATTCACCCCAAAATACGCGATGAAAGATTCTGACGAGATCAACAACTATTAAAAGGGTAAACTGTTATACACTTCAATAACCGAAGATATTCAGTGCAACTCTAACTCACCTGTCAGAATACAAGAGTTTTGAAAAGAAAAGAGAGAGAGAAAAAAATGTAAACTGCCGGCCGTGGGCGACAATAGGATTGCAGGGGGATGCTCTCATCTGCAGCTATGCTCATGCCCTTTCCTTGTACGGGACCTTCCCTGCATTCTCACTCTAGATTCAGTCTGCATGTTTAAGCATGCCCCAGATTGCCTCCTGGGGGTCAACGAAGGTCCAAGGGGGACCATCAGGACCCTGGCTTGTTTAATGTGATTGAGCAGGCCAAGAACCTTCGTTCGTACAGTCACTAGACGTGACTGGAGAGGAGAAAATATACGTGTACACATGTACAGTACATGAACATGTAACCATGTACATGTCTATTCAGGAACTGCTGAGGCACTCTGCTCACAGAGCTCGGACAGTGAGGGTACAAAGGCGCGGCCTATCTCCAAACACTAAAAAAAATGGAAGTTTTTACCGTGAGCAACTTTCTGATCCTGATTCTACTTCTTGAAACAGCGAATGGTCTCCCCTGCAACGGGCCCAAAGGGGTAAGTTATCCTTCCTCGCTCCTTCTTTTTTCCTTTCATTTTAAGGCATAGAATACTTTCCACGTTCCCCTCAAGTGCTATGTGCTTCAAGTGAAGAATGCTTATATACGTATTGTGTACACCAATTTGCTAGTATACATTTTATTCCGTAAAACTGTAAAACATAAATATGCGTTTCACCTTACGCTTATCTTTAAAGTATTGCTAAAGTGTGTCAAATGCCAGTTATTCTCATGATAAAAACCCGCATATAGTCTTAGTCAAACTGTGAGTGCCTTTTGGCACATTGTTTTATACAAGTAATTAACTTCTGGACTTGCGAGTTAAAAATCAACCTTTGGATCCCCCTGAGTCACAAAGGTATTTAAAATGGCAGACTTCAAATAGCATCTCTATGGACTGATAATGAGATTGTACATAAAATGGCGAAAATTCCGCCGTGTGGTTTTGCGTCTCAAAAACAATTTACTCAGTATTACGAAGTGTGAGTGAAAAAAACTGCTTCCTGTAGGACCATCGAAAATGATTACGGTTTATTATACTGAATGCATATATTGCCGCCAAAACCTAACCCGGACAGTTGGTGATATTTTGAATAGATAATCATTAATCTGTACTTATTTGTTGCTTTGTGTTGTTCAACCACTCCACATACAGCCGTTATGCCTACAACCGCGCTGCATCCAGACTACCGCCGACATTCTGCGTGTGATGGATCTGGACGCCGACCCGTGCCAGGATTTCTACCAGTTCGCCTGTGGTAATTTTGCCAAGGTGTCGGAGATTCCCGAAGGCGAGACCAGATGGACGCCCATTCGGCAAACTCAACATCGGAATCACAAACTTGTGCAGAAGGTACAAGAATAGCAGTTGGACTTTTACCTTTGTGTTTAACTGATTACAAATGCATAGCCACGCCCCTTAAGGCAAATGAAACGAGATGCCAAAAAGATTGCACAGGAAATGAACTGCTTTTAATCACTTCTAGCCTCAACAATAGGGAAATTTAGCTCGGCCAAAGATTGTTCATGATTTTCTCAAATGCTTCAGATTCAAAATTTTCACACCGTCTTTGAACAGGAATACCGTTTGTAAATCTTGTTTTACTTGTGTCTTTATTACTTGATAGTTCCTGGAGCAAGATGGCTACGATTACAAAGGAGTTAGAAGCGAGGCTCTGGTGAAGGCCAAGACCTATTTTCAGACTTGCATGAACCAGACATTCAAAGCGGAGAATGGTTTCGACCCACTGTTGCAAGTGAGATCTTGGATATTATTCAAAGCAGACTCCCTTGAGTCGCCCGTTACTTTGTATTTATTCTGTGCCCTCTCAGCAATTTTAACGGCTAGCTTCAATACACAGTCAAAGAGTTTTCCTCAACTCTTTGCCTGGAGTGGTGTCAATTTGGGGGGGGGGCGTTGGAACCCTTCAAAACTACGTACACAAATGGCTGCCTGTTTAAGTCACTGTATAGTAGTTCTTGAAGTCTTGCCTCAGCCTCCATCCGCCGATTAACCGATGTGGGTCTGGTTCTCTGGTAGTTTCATCGGACTTCTTAAAGTGGTATTCCCATCTGCTGCGAATTATAGGTCTGGATGGTTAGGAAAAGGTCTGGCGCACTTGTTCAAATGGCTCAGCATACAACTGCCTATTGACAGCTGTGTAATACTGAAGTCGTTACCCTGGATCCCGCTTGGCATGTCATTTTCCAATACGGCACCTTGAACTGCCTCTCCTGCAATCCCTGAGGGAGTTTCCTTTCCTTTCCCTTTCAGCTCATAGATTCCGTCGGTGTATGGAATCTCCTGCAGGAACGCGGCAGCGCCGTTGAGGGCGACATTTCCCGTCTCACCTATCGGTTGGCCGAGCTGTACAAGATTGGCATCCAGCTGCTGTTTGCCATGGACATCGGCCCAGACGACAAAAACTCCAGTCTGAATATCGTCAAAGTGAGTTCCGCAAACTCAGCCTATTTAAACCGCGATATCTCTCGCGTCTTATTTTCCGAAACGCATAATAAGTTCGCTTGGTAAGCATTATTTTTTGTATTTTCTCAGTTTCAGCAATACGGCCTGAGCCTCCACCAACCTAGGTATTACGAGGAATCAGTAAGTTTTATAAGTTGCTAAAATACAGTTACTTTAATTAAGAGATCGTTTTTCTATCAATCTATTTGACCCCACTTTGTTCCCATTTTTGACAAGCGTCATTATTGTCAAAGCATAATCCGCTGATTTTTCTCGTGTTTGGCAGCGGATGGCTCACATGGCTGTCCACTGGTGGAGTGTCAGAACGTTCACAGGGTAAACTTTCCCTGTATTTTTAAAATCTCAAAAACAGTGCAACCAAAATTCATAATCTACACTTTTTCTTAGAATTCACCACAGGTTATTTTATTTATTTATTTTTTTAAAGTTTTGGATGACATTTACGGGCCTTCGTAGCTTAAAGCGAGATTTGTCGCCGATGGAGTTGTAAAAAAATACTGAAGTGATTTTACGGCGCTTCTTCAAAAGGAATGTCACGAAAAGAATACCGATTTTTAAGTTAAAAGTCTACATGGGTCACAGAGGGTTTTGCGAGATCCTGGTGCGATCCTATAGACCATAGTCTGAGGGCCACTTTAAACCTGCTTCGAAGCCATCGTTTGGTTAGTTGGCAGTTCAATAATTTCAACATTTTCACAAGTGAGATACTTCATGATGTGATGGTAGTACTGTTTACCAGTTCTGTCATAATTATATTCCCCTCATAATCACTGTTAAGCTGTGTTACTCTTCAGAAACGTGCAGTGCTCGACGCTTTTGTTGACCTAGGCGTCACGATGATGACCTTGCTCCGTGACCCCCGCAGTCCCAGGGAACTTGTCGAGACACGGGTGGACGCGAGGTCCCGGATGGAGGACATTGTGGAGTTCGAGAGAGCAATGAGCAGGGTGAGGCTGAATGAAACCGTTTGTCCGAGAGTTTTCTCATGTCCATCTGATTAAAAGGAACTTGAGTGCTGTCTTAATTTCAGCTAATTTCAAATCGCAACTTTATGATTAAATGTGCATCATCCAAAGAAGTGACCTCGGTTTAGAAGCTATTTCTTCACGAAAATTTGCTTACAAATTAAGACACCTTGGTGTCATATGTCAGGAAAGTCAGAAATATCTTTTTAGTAAGATGTCAGAAGGATGTGAGACTCGTATAAGCAGAAGTATATGGTTGCGCAAAATATATGTCATGGTGGTTCAAAATAATAACACCATCATGAAAGTATTGCAGTTTATCAGTAAGACAATGTCTTCCACATCCAACCCTTTGTTTTTTGGATTTGTGGCATTACAGTTATTTGTCCCGTTCCCAAAACTGCAAGATCCTCTCACCATTTACAACAAGATGTCCCTGCAGAAATTTGCGGACATGATGCCGGACTTCGATCTGCTGGGCTACGTGAGGCGTGCTTTCGGCCGGGATATAGGCAGCGATCGGGAAGTCCTGGTCTACACCCCAGCCTACTTCCGGAAGCTGAATGACCTGCTCAGAGACACTCCGGACAGGTGCAGTAAAATGGCGGATCCAGAACCAAAATTCAGGGGTCAGATATGTTTGGCGGGGAGCAGTGGCGCACCGAAGGGGGAAGGGGTAGGGGCTTGTGGGCCCCCTCTTCCGGTTTATTTGTTTGTTGTTTGTTTGTTTGTTTGTTTTCTGAAAAACGAAGTTACAATGCTCAACTATATTTTAATCACTTCTCGCTGGAGGAGGTGTAAACACACACTTTTATCCACGGAGGACGACGTATTAATGTGTCGTGCCTGGTTGGGTCAAAGGGCAGAAGATAATCCTACACGCGGATGCTGCTACCATCCTCTATGCTGCTACTAAGTGGAGCCCCCCCTCCATCCACCCACCCACAATAATCCGGAAATGCCTTTCTTGAGAATCAGAATTGAATTGGGGAGCCCACACCATACCCAAAAGAATTAAGGAATTAGGCCTAGGGAGCGACACCACGCTTACAAAAATATAAGGTTACAACATCCCAACTGGCAACTCCTTTGTATAGAAATATTTGGTCAAAAAACACACGTGGCCACGGGTGACGCCTATATGCGCTATGGACCTTTTGCATGTGAACTGCTTTTCTAGCAACGCGCTGAAAAGAAGACACCACTGTGGAAAATTACGGGGGCGCAATCCATTTCGGAAAGGCGTTCTCATTAATCTTTAATAAAGGATTTTCAGTCGCGTGATTTTTGACTTACGTTTAATTTACACAGATGTGTGCGGAAACGCGCCCGCTTTCGAAGTCTCTCAAAATTCTTGCGTAAATGAAATGGCCAATAGAAATACTCAAATTCAAAAATCCCCCGCCTCCACGGAAAACGTATGTTTCCTGAAATGTCTTTGCCCGTCAGGTTACCTCACGTAGTAGACGTCCATGGGGACAACTAGGGCCCGTCGGATTTGTGCTATGTGAGGAAAATGGTAACAATACTTGGGGAGGGGTGCTGAAAGAAATTGACATGCACAGCATCTTGGTTACTGAATCAAAAGTCACAGAATGAGCCTTAAGTTTTATGCAGGAATCAATGTCACAGGACCAAATAAAGAAGTCACAATCATTACTTTTCAATAATGTGTATGCATTGTCAGTAAGGATGGCATCCCTATACAGAAGCCACTCACGCACATCATTTTGACAAAACATGTGTTCTTTTTGTCATTGGTTGTTTAAAATGTCCATTCATGGGTCATTTTTGCTTGAACGAGAGTGCTTTTATGTGTGACTTTTGATTAAGTAACCAAGTTGCTGTGCATGTCAATTTCTTCTTTGTTACAAAGATAATCACTTGCTTTTGGGCATGTGATTAGTAAGGAGTATTGTAGCATACCTGTGTACAAACATTGTTTATTTCCATGGAGTGAATTTTATGTGTGGTCTTTGACAGAAGTGGCAGGTTTCTTTTGCTGACCAGTGTACATTTTCATCATGTCTTGAGAAACTTTTAGAATTTTTGTTTAAATGTGGGCCGTGCTGAGAGAAGAATTTAAAATTAGAAATGATACGGTGGCATATAAGGGCCACGTACAAAACATTTCGTGTATCTATCTCGCTGTGGCGAGTTACTATATCGCAGCGAGAGATAGAAACTCCAAAAAATGCAAGTGGCCCTTACACGCTTCCATAGAATGGTGCGTTTTCCGATTTTAGGAAAATTGGATTATTTTGATCGGCTCTTGCGTCTGTAGTCTTCTCTTACGTCCTGAGTAATTTCTACTCCAGGGTACTGGAAGATTACAGCTTGCTCTTCATGACGGGGAGTTACATCAAGTACCTCCCTGAACCATTTCAGGACGCACATAAGAAGTACATCAACGTGCTTACGGGGGCCACCAAGCGGCCGACGCTCCTCGACCAGTGCTTGAAGGAGGTCGACCGAACGTTTGGTTATGTGACGGGCGCCCTCTTTGTTGAGGAGAAGTTCTCCGAGGCTGCAAAGCGAAAGGTCTGTGCGCTTAAAAGTATCGTTTTAATTAGGGTGGCCTTTAAGGGATGTCGTACATTGCCTCTCTGGCGACACGACAGAAAAAGTGCTTGTAATTGTGTCGAAATGGTGGAGTGGGGTTCGCTTGTCTCCGCTGCCTTATTTAGGGGGATGCAATAGGCTACGTTTTGTCAAGGAAGTGTAATATAATGATACACAGAGCACTACCGGGCCACAAGCTACGATATAAACGCAGGCTTATACCGTGCGCATGGATCATGGTACAAGGAAGTGTTGACGTGTGCTTTTGACCGAATGAATTCTATCCAATGAGGGCTCAAAGAAATTACGTCATGCATCCTGGAGAAAAACAGCGATCTAAGAGCTAGCGAAAAACTAGGATCTAAGAGCTCGCGTTGGAGCTAGTAGGGACGAGATGGATGAGGTTATAAAACAGAATGGCCAACTTTGTATAAGACATCTGCAATGGTCTCAAAGTAACTCCTTCGCGAGGAACAAGTCATTTATGACAAAGGCAGGTTGGGTGGACCACAATGGACGCCATGCCGCCATATCTTAACTCCTCGGTGGCATCATCAAGACCGCCATGGTGTTGCAGATTGGGCACTGTCTGGTCCTCCATATATAAACGATAAGCAGAGTTTCGTGCCAAGACGTGTGGACTTTTTTTTAATCACAGGAGTCACACAATGAAAACCCTGCCATCAGTGTGAATAAAATAGTAATGATTGCACTTAATCGAACCTCCTTTTGAGTAGACAGAGGAGATACTGGGATACATACGGACTGCCTTCCTTGAGAACTTACCACGGGTTCGCTGGTTGGACAAGAAGGCTAAGGTCATTACTGGGGAGAAGGCTAGAGCCATGATCGTGAAGATTGGCTTTCCAGACTGGATTCTGGACCCAGCACAGTTGGATAAACACTTCGAAAATGTAAGTAGAACATTTGAATGTTTGTGGTACTCATAAAAGTGTATTCCTAATAATTGCATAGCGCTGTTCAGTGTTTGGCGCGAGTTCTCAAAGCTGGATGGGTTCCTTGTGAACAAAATTTCTGAACAAAAAAGGTTTGCGGGTACACCATGTGGGAAATATCTCTTTTGTGAAGAGGTGTGGTTCTAAAAAGAACCGGTGAGAACAGGTCTCGACGTTTCGGCCAGTGTACTCTCCTGAGGAAGGCCAGAGTACACTGGCCGAAACGTCGAGACCTGCTCTCACAGGTTCCTTTTAGAACCACATCTCTTCACAAAAGAGATATTTCCCACATGGTGTACCCGCAAACCTTTTTTGTTTAACACTCCCACCATGCAAAGCTTCAAATCTTACTTAAAATTTCTGAACTAAGCTCTAAACGTAACATATTTGGTGCATACTTTGTCACGTAAATGGACTTTTCTCTTGATTGGTAAGCCTAATGACGTAAGGGTTGACTTTCTCAAGGAGTGTTACTAATGGCCCCTTCGCTTAGAAAATGCAGTCAGATAAATGATCTCCTCGTGGATGCAGGGCCCAGAGGTCCCGTAATAAATAGTTCGGATTCACGATACCGCTACACCCTCTATCTCAACACAAGGGAAGTCCACAGGTGTTACATTATCCGAGGAGAAAGGTCGAAATCGCGCACCAACACCCACGCAGTCGCGTTTCTAGGAGGGCATGGGGCAAGTGCCCCCAGCATAAGTCCTTTTCTCTACTTAAAGTGTAAAAAACTTATCTACAAGCACGGTTAAGTTACTTTCAGGTTAAATTCAGAAATCCCTTGCTAATTACGCTACTGGAATCGACGCTGTAATTCAGTGCGCCTTGTCCACACTTTCACGACCAAATATGGAATTAAACTCCCCTATCTTTTCCTTGTACACGGGATGCCACGACCATTTCAACACTGATCAACCCTTAGAATCGCATCGATTTCTCTCTACGGATGTTCACCATTTTCAAAAAGCTATAGCTGCAAATAGTTAAATACCTATCTCGACTCGTGAGCTGGAGGGAGATATTTTCGGTTACAAACATTGGGGCTTACCTTTTTAATTGCTGTGGGGACAAACGTTGCCATGTTATGAACTGCTCCTCGGAAAAGAAACGTTTTGATACAAGGATTCATAATGGAAGTTCTTTGTTCAAATGTCTCGCTATTAGGGAGATCATCCTGTTGTGGGGTCTTCCTCAAAATCATATCATATCCATGTTGTCGCATTGCTCAAAACGATAAATTATGTTAGCATCTTTATGAGCAAGCATTAAGAGTATAAATAAGGTAAAGGCATCGCCAAAGATTTCGACGGTCTACAACTCTCTATAGACCCATGTCGAATCAGTGTGTCAAGTCGAGTCCAACACAAGTCTCTGTGACTAGTCTCCTGACCAATCATTTCCAGCCGTTTTCAGCACAGCTTCTTGATCATCCAGTATCGAATCGAACACATCAGGGATGTCAGTTGGAGTCTATGATAAACAAGGTTGATCTTGGATAATTCATGTGATTTTCCTAATCTATTTACTGGCGAGTATTTCGTTCTGATTTTTTAACAGCTCTATGTATCAGCGGATAACGCTCTTCAAAATCAAGCTAACTACAAACGTTTCTTACTTGTAAACGTCTCAAAAAGTCTCGATTTTCCGGTGGACAAGAGCAGGTGATGTATTTTAGACTTGGCTCCCCTAAAACCAAGTAATTAATGCCACCAATCAATCAAGTAGTATGCTTGAATGAACTCCATGGAGGTCTTGAGGAACTGGTATCCGGTTCGTAAATGACTTAGTCAAACATGTGCACGCACCAATGATCGCAAGCTTCCATTGGATGAACACCCAAGTTGCTCGTCAACTTCCGGTCCCATAGTTCCATATAGCTCAATGTGTAGTGGGCGTGGTTTAAATTGAAGTGACACACACTTACGAACCGGATGCATCTCAAACATCAGGAAACTTTCCTAACATTTGGTAAGAAATGTTCTCTTCTTTGTAGATCTGATTTTTTTCTTCTAGATGGGACGTCAGCCCAGGTAAGGTGAACGCATATTACGACTATTCGCGCAACGAGCTGGTGTTTCCTGCCGGCATTCTGCAACCACCGTTCTTCAGCAATGATCTGCCGGCGTAAGTCATTACGAGAGCTGGGTACAGGTCGCCCCCCCCTCCAAACATGAACCATCACTGCAAAGCCATTGCTTGCACGACTGTCCTTCAGCAGGTTTTTACTAAACGACAGATGAACACATATAGAAATATCTGTATCTCTTCACTATTGTACAAACGCCTGGTATAGGGTGTCGCATACCAGTAGGTGTGGGCGAGTAGCGAATCAATAAATAGTTGCGACTAGACGAGATTATTTGCATTGTTTAATTGTCCATTAAAAATCATGTTGGCGGTTGCATAACATAACACGGGGTTAATTTGGGATGATGTCACACTGTGTGTTTCAATTTTTCCGTTTGGATGGTTGGACTTTTGCGCTATCGTGAAGGAAATACGAAGCTCTTTTTAAGATAAAAACTGTCTTANAGAACCGCTTGTGATATTCTTTTTTTGTTTCTCTGCTTACTTACTACCACTTTTTGAAGGAAACCTTAATCGTTCGGCAATTCGATCAACAACTTTGCAGAGGTGAAAAGCACACGGCGCTTAGGTCCGACTGGTGCCCCACCCGCGACACAGTGCTACGATTGCAATAAAGGACCAGTTTATGGCCGGGCTGTGTGTGTGCGTGCGCGCACTGAATCAGGCAGAGGGCTCCCTTTAGTTGTGGAGTCTGACGTTCGTAAACATGTCAAATAAACATTGGCGGAGAAGGGAATTAGCAGCAGATTTGATCTACGAACATGATTTTATATTTTCTGTGTATGTATTCAATGTTTTAATGACGTTATTTCGAGTTGCACTGCTCTCACAAGAGACGATACACTCATTTAGCGAAGCGAATTTTCGAGAAATTTTATGTTCACGTGGTTTTGTGTTTCGTTGCCCGTGCGGAACCGACTCATATGCAGAGTCCTGCCACGCTGATTCAGAGCGATACACGGCATCGCCACTTCAGTTTTTTGTACAATTTTAAGAATCAACGGCTTCAGAGATATTTTTGTTACAAATGATCAACGCAAGTCCTGTCACTTTTGAGAGTCTTCATTTCGACAGCTTACGTCCAAAATTCCAACCACTTCTGTGTTCATGGTAGCCGGACAAAAATTAAATCGCTGCACATTTCAAATAAAAGGAATTATTCCTACATGTTTCAGCAGACTAGTTTCAGGCAAAATACGGATTCAATGCATGCAACAGTACCGTCACTTTCGTGGTGTTTTACGTGCAACATGTACAGTACATGTACATTTAAATTGCATGCATGATACCAGTATAGAGTACCGAAGTAATTACGTCACGCGTATACATCAGTGTGTGAAAAGCATTTGCGCGAGAACCAGCGTGCGCACCAACATGCGCGCGTGCTCCGTTCGTTTCCACCGTACTTTCTGGTTCAAAACGACCTCACACTCAGCTTCGGTACTCTATATGGAACGAGTATTCATTCAGGCAGTGCTAATGTATTAACTTTCTTGAGTAAAACATACGGAACTGAAAACTTTTGTGAATTTTCATTTTGTATGAAGGAGACTGTCGTAGTACGACAAAGTAACTGCAGCTTTGGCGCCATGGAAGAAAGTATTTTTTGTCGATGAGTGCTAGATGTTAACAGTACATACCCAAACTTAATTAGCCCATTTAGTAAACCTAAGTCGAAGGTTGCACTCACAAAGCAACTCAAGACATCGTCATCAGCGCCCTCAGAAAACAATGGAATTTAGACTTACATTTATTTATGTGTGAAGCGCTAAAATTGTTTTCTGTCCGACGTGAATTGCGTTTGGGGTTTGCTCTGGTTTAGTAGTTTATTTGACGGGTTTGAGGTTTATAATTGCTTTTGGTTTTTAATAGGAAAAGACTACAGAGGTAGAAACTAAATTCCTAATTTCTATCAACTCGACTGAGCAGTTTTAATAAGAATATTCAAGGAATGGGATCGAAAATGTAGGCCCTATGCCAGGCTTCCTTGCGAGTGAGCTCTATCATGCTAGTGCCTAGTAACTGATCGTGTCAATTTGTTTCCGTGCTTATGTGTAGTGATCTTATCGGACCGAGTGTGTTTTTTTGCCACAGGTCCATGGATTTTGGAGCAATAGGAATGATCATGGCTCACGAGCTGGTTCACGGCTTTGACTCGCAGGGAAGACTCTACGATAAAGACGGACTCCTCAACAGCTGGTTGTGGGGAGAGGCAGCCTACAAGGAGAAAACGGATTGCCTCGTACGACAATTTTCACAGTACGCAATAGATGGGCAAAATGTAAGTGACAATGAGCGACAATATGGCTTTCACACTAGATATTCTCTGGAGAGACAGAGGGTACCAGGAATGTTTATTGTGGTGTTGTTCTTAGTAACTTCCNGACGCCAGGGTGAACTCACTTCGATATTAAAAGAATAAATCAGCTGAACGACTACCGTGTTTTAAGTGCATTCTTGCAGCCAACAGTTTGTATGAACTTAGCTCAACTCGAACAGAATTGTCTCTATATATCTCACTGACATTGGTTTCGATGAAGGAAAAGATTTGAGTAATATTTTGGGGGTTTTCATATCAGTCAATATTTGATCCCATTCCCCAAATCAACTTGTTTAAATCTTGTTTCCCATCATTGACAGGCTGTTGATTTATAGCTAAAGGATCAACCTGAGAAGAGACCAGCTTCTGTTGCACCTTTCAACACAGGATGTACTATGTGCGACTGACACTGCGTTATAGAGTGGTTAATTAGTCTCTAACCTCCTTTCTTTCTTTTTTTTTGCCACCATCAGATAAACGGGGAAACCACTCTGTATGAGAATTTCGCAGACAACGGCGGACTAAAGATCGCCTACCTGGCCTTTCAGAGATGGCAGGGGAACAGAGCAGACGATCTGTCACTGCCGCTGAACTTGACGGCATCCCAGGAATTCTTCCTGGGAATGGGCCAAGCCTGGTGCAGTTACTACACACCAGAAGCCGCTAAGATCTACTTAGAAAGGGACAGCCATTCGCCCGAGAAGTACAGGTATACGTGTGCAGGCGTGGCATACATACAGTGCACCTCTGCGCAAAGAAGTCCACACAATGTGGGGTGCGATGGCGTAGTGTGGACTTGCACACGTCCACATAATCTTTTCCCCTCTCTGAAAAACAGTTTAAGAGGCATTTTGGGGTCAAGGTTATCGTGGCAAAATGAAGAGGCACAGTCCAGGGAATCGCCATCAAAAATCCAGCTCGAAGGAGTTATCCTAGATACAGAAAAAGGAGCATTTTCCTCAAGTTTCCTTAACCAAAGGAAAACAAAGGAATGCTACCCTTTGTATGTAAAACAGATACGTGTGTGCTGACATAGCCTGATAAACTTCGCTCACATTTCCGATGATTTTTAAAGATGGGTTTAAACAGTGATGGCTACCCTATAATTTGTCACAAAAATACTGCGAAAATATGCAAAAGAATACCTACCGTCATCTCTCAGAGAGTCACGATTACGTGTGCTTTCTTCCTGCGCGCGTGGGAATGTTTACCTATCGGGTCACCATTTGAACAAAACAATTCAATGTCTTGTCAAATAGCGCCACCAGTTACGCTAGACAGGAATGTGGGTAGCAGCAAAGCTGCTGAGTATGGTCACAGTATGCGTCGTACAAAGTTTTGAAGATGCCTTCAGAGTTGTATAAACAATGTAATAGGTTCACACTGTCACTGAAAGAAGGTTGTTTTCCAATGTCATCCTGAAAAGCCAGGGACATTAAAATCATGGCAGTAAAATGCCGAAACCTAAAGTGAAATTCCTGGATCTCAACATCTCGTTGGCACTTGCAGGTCCCTAAAACCTTCTTTTATTTAAACCAAAACGAAAGGGCCAATGACCACCATCCGGGCAAGTCATCCCCCATTCCACCAGTTCCTGCCACAAGCTTACGCCACTGCAGGCTGGGCCCATCCCTTTTCACAGTGGCACTCTTATAGCAGACAGAAACGAAGCAGTAAGCACAGAGAATACATAATTTGGATAAAAATGCTCCTCGCCACCCCTTTTAAGCAAAACACAAGTTCACTAATAAATTATAATTTATGTGCGCATGCGTATGAGGAGGCCTAAAGCTTGAGTGGCCCATTGGAAACGTGCAGGGGCATAAATTTCAACGTCATTTTCTCTCAGGTTCTGCACTGTTTTTCACTTTCGCCTTCGGAAAGCCCTCTAAAATCATTATAGCGGTTACTTTCTGGTATTAAAGGAATTTTCGTCTTGAAAGTTTCGTTCTAAGCGCACGAGGGTGAAAGAAATCAGTAGGGTTCCGTTCTGTGTGAGCTATAAAAAAACGTTAGAGCAGGATCCACCATTCTCGGTCGACCATGTAAGTGGCGAAGCAAACCTTAACAAAAACTGAAGCTAGCCAGAAATTCAGGCCGTGACCGAAACGGGCTTCCTGAGCTACGGCTAGGTCTATTGTCTACGTGTCTCCACGTACTTTCAATGGAGTGAAGACCTAGACCTAGTTCTAGACAACAGATTTGGATGCAGCCTCACCCTGGTTTCAGCCCGCGATTTAGTACAAGTACGAGTGGTGCATAGTACAAAACTATTGAATTGGACATGGTTGGAAAGGAACCCTGTTGATTTATTTTGACCATGAGCGTTCTTGAACCAAAGACTATTTTTTGTGTTGTTTGTTTGTTTGTTTGTTTGTTTTTTTGTTGGGGTGTTGGGGTGTTTGTTTGTTGGGGTGTTGGGGTGTTTGTTTGTTTGTTTGTTTGTTTGTTTTTATTGCAATGTATAACCCTTTTAGACCAGAAGGTAATAGCTAAAATGATTTTAGAGGGTTTTCTGAAGACGGAATTGAAAAAAGTGCAGAAGCTGAGTGAAAAGTATGAATGAAATGAATGGACAGATATTTCAGGATGCTTTTGCCAGGCATGTGCATGGGGAATTGGGGCTTGAGCCCTCCCAAGGTTTTCCCCTTTTTCTCTTTTTTGAAAAAACGAAGATAAAAGACTCCTGCAGTTTAAAGTACTACCTCTGATATAGCCAGATCTCCCAGTCCTAATGGTGCAATGGGGGGGCTTCAGCATCGTGAGTTATTTTGAGGGGTAAATTTTGGTCCGAGCCCCTATCAGTGTACAAATCCAAATTGTGCTTCAGGTACAGAGTTCATCCAAACGACTACAAGGATCAATACTTCCGTGTGCGGTGACACGTTCCAGCGACATTTTCGGCAGGCAGCCTTGAGTCTAATACGGCAGACTGAAAAGGACTTTAAGAGATGTGAGGTCGAGCGATATGGATTTTTATCAATTCTCACCCCCCGAAATTTGACCTGTCATCCTCTTGATTAGGGTCATCGGGTCGTTGTCAAACCTGCCAGCATTCAGTGAGGCGTTCCAATGTCCCATCGGAAGTCCCATGAATCCTGCCGTGAAGTGTGAGGTGTGGTGATTCCCGTGTGGTGAGCGAGCGGCCATATTTACCAGCCACTTCGAACAGCATTTAATTAATTACAGCTATAAGTGCATTTCTGATTCGCTGTTATTTTGACACTGTTTACATTCCAGCACTTGTAGATGATATTTTCGTTTTCAAGTATGTTTTGCTTTTATTTGATTAAATTCAAAAACGAAAGTTTGCTGGACACCTGTATTCTTAGGACGTGTTGAAAAAAGGTTTGTATTTTTTTAATTTGATGTAAACTCGTGTGCCCCACATGTGCGACACTTTTGAAGACAAAAACTTTTGAAGGTATAAACACTTTGCGTCATAATTAACAGCATCATCATTAGTATTAATATTCATCAGAATTGGAATTTGAACAAAACAAGGAATACTAAGACGTCAGTGGAAAATTTTTACCCATTGGAACAAACCTACAAATCCAACTATTTCTGTCCATATGGATTGGAGTAGTAAGACAAGTGTTTATTTAATTTTGTTTCAAAAACCCTCAAAATAATATTCGGTGTAAGAAAAAAAGGGAAAGCCTAGCTCACATGACAGCATACAAGATGTCGAGACGCAAACAGTGGCGGATGATTAACGTGCATGACGTCACTCCATCCAAACCAAACACATCATGCTGTCCGAAACTCCCAACGTTTTATTATAGCATGCCTTCCTAGTGGTTGTACCAGGTTTGAGAACCAAACTGGTAAACTCCAGTTCAATGGTCTTCGTTTTAGAGGCTGATGCTTTGATGACAATAATTGGACTGCCATGTTTTAGTCGGAACCAGGAGAAATGGGCAAAAATTTGGTACTGATACAAAGAGAGAGAGGGGGAGAGACATTACAATCGTGTTTGTGTGGTCCTACTCTGGCGATTCACACTGAGAATCAGCACAGTTGAACACGATTCAGTTTTTATTGACTTTCTCGTCTGTGGTTGTGTCAGTCGCGGTAAAAAGCGTCCGCGTGTGTTTGTGTCCCATTACATCGATGTGTCCATTTACATCGATATGGAATACAACTTGGTCGCGTGATTTACCGTTTGTCTCCAAACTTTACTCTGTGCATGTGGCCTCGACTCGATAAGGGGGATTGTGACTGTCGATGCCGATGACCATGTGCCCTACCATAATCAGGACATTTACGGCTTCACTTTTCGCTGTCCACGTGCAAGTTTGATAAGGGGTAGCCTAAAATATAAGATGTGGCATATCGATCTACTGCCTCTAGCCTGGGCCTCAGAAGACTGCGTTCATCAGGAAAGGGCTACTGACTGACATTTTACAAAGGTTCTAAGGGTTCAAAAGGGGGAAATGGGGAGGATACACTCCTCCTGAATTGTTTGACTGAAGAAACTACCATAATGGGATGCATGACTCGCATTATGACATTCAAACTGTACACATGACGGACATGAAGATGGCTTGGCGCTGTTCCGCAAAAAACAAAAGAAAAAAAAAAGATGCATTACGTTTGCGGTACGTACGGTGGCTAATAGGATTTTTGAAAACCGCCGGATATCAGAAAGCTCCACATAGGACTCAGATGTCACCTGCTCCCCTCACTCTACTCCGTCACATGACAGAGAATGCCGAAACTTGTAATAAACTTGTGCTGCCGGTAGTGAAAATTGGAGACACAGAAAACGATTGCGCACACAGAGTGGTCTCCGATTCAAACTACATGATTGAAACATCAAGTGGCTTAAATTGACACTTTTCTTGTGAGACAACAGCACCAACCACAGTGTCAATGTTGTTGGTCACCACCATCGCCCTCCTTCGATTTCTAAAGGACATTTTTTTATCAGTCTAATGCGCCGAAAAACATGTACGCCCTCCCTGGAGGGAGTCGTTGTATTTGAATGAGGAATGTGGTAGCAATCGAATCACATGAGATTTTCAGACCGTTCATGTTGTGAATTCGGTCAGGGTTCAATATCCCCATGACTGTTTGACACTTTCAGTGGACTCAGTCGATTCAGTGGAGACATCATATCGTCATATAAAAGCAGTGTCGCGTTACATTCCTTCTCTTTGGCTGTGCAAATTTTATCATATAAAAATACATACGGCAACTGTAGAAATAAAAACAATTCTCTATATGTAAACAAACTGTCTGTCTATTGTGGTTCTGTCATGTAGTATCTGAGTCTATTTGTCATTTCACGTCTGTTGTATATTTAAAACGTCTTTTTATTTCAATGTTTATGCATTGGTCATTGCTTGTTCCATGGAGGAAAAAGATACACGCTGTCTAATATTGCATTACTCGTCATTTTGACATCATATCGGAAAAGCGAGATAATCTTGGCAGTCGAGATATACCCAGTATATGCATGAAGGTTCGATAATTTGGGATACCTCAGAAATCTTCAACATGACGCGTTTCAACAGTTTCCCTTTTCTGGGTACACATCCAATGCTTTGGAAGAATAAGATGAGTGCCTACCGTGTACAAGCCCGAGATATTTGAACTGGAGATAGTAAAAATTGTCGGATATCTCCAAGGAAGATTGACAGATCTGTCGAACTTTCAGGAGACATTCAAGAGTTGCGTAAACAATTTCAGGGTTACTCAAGTAACGTTTTTAACGAGGCATATGACCTGCTAATGGCACCAATCGGAACGATTACAGCATTTGGTTACAGTATATATATATATATGGTAGTCTATGAAATGTCACATGAGATTTTGTGGACTTGAAAAATGGTAGTAAAGTGAAGCCCTTACGTGCTAGTTAACCTAAGGAACGTTAAGCCCACGGAACATATTGTTATGAAAGGTCATATACTTTGTATTATCAGTAAAGAAAAAAAAGAAGATCACCGTAAACAAACGTTTGTCATTTTGTGCTCAAATAACATAGATGAATTAAATCAAGACAGGACTAATATTTAGTCAACAGTGACTGACTTTGGTCAAATTTGACTAGTATTTGACTTACATTAGTCATTGGAATGTCTGGCTAATTCTAAATAGTAATTGGCTGGTCCGACTAATTCAAATTGGTCATTTTAGATAATAAGCTGGACTTACTTTTATCAGTCAGACCGAGAAATATTATTTTACAGTGATTATACAAAGGTCTGGGACCTAAAACTGCATTGTTTTAAAAATAACGCTGTTTTTAACTGTTTCTAATATGTGTTTGATTGTATTGCTATGATGTGCGAGCATATGATGCAAGATATGGGGCGGAGAGAACCCCCCCCCCCNGTAACAATAGTCTAGAGTGAGTAAAGGGATTGGACATGTGGGGGGGGGTACCCATCGGCCCCATATCGTGCACGGTATCTGTGCGAGGTCCACAGTAGTTGGCTACAAATATATGTTACATTAAAAGTACAGCTAGTCATTTGTCTTTTGTGAAGTCGTTAGAGGCAACCAAGGTGTTCAAAATTCAAGGAGGGGTGCTATACAACTAACCCTAACCCTGGAGTCTCAACTTCCAAAGAAAAAAAAGCAAGATTCTAGGATCTCAATTTCAAATCAAACGTTGTAGCGCCATGCTTTTAATTGCACCAGAATTCGGCGTCCAGGACACACTCTAATTCAGCCTACAGCTACGCGATGCTACGATCTGCACGGACAAACTTTTCCGTTCAGTTTCAACTGTAGGCCTACTATTCGCTATTGGAATTCCTTGGATGGTGATACTTGTGCAGCTGGTAGCGTGCATACCTTTAAGACTAAGGCCAACAGGTATCTTAGGTCCATTTGACTTATTCACCTGTTTCCTGTTCTTTTTTGTGGTTGTCTTGTCCTTGTCGACGCTTTAGGTGTTTAGGGGTTGCTGGTAGCAACTTATAGTGGGTTTCCACTTTTCCCTCTCAACCTAACGCGTCTAGTTTAATAATAATAATGATAATAAAGTCCGTGGGAAGCGCGCGTGTGCATCGTATCAACGCTTGCTTGCTTCGTTGACTTAAAAGCGAATTACTAACGGTATTTTCAAAAAATGCGTCTTCGGACATATCACTGGAAAGGGCCTGCTCTCTTTTCTTTCTTTAAAATGGCAACTTGTCTGAAATAAAATTATTCCACAGCGAGCTTAGTCATCTTTAAAAAAAGCCTACCTTTTGAATAAAAGCATTTGTCGGTTACTTCATGGACAGCTGCAAATGTGGGACTGTTTAAACCACCTCCCCATGATCTTTGTGTTTCTAGGTTAATGTCTATCTGCATCCAAATCCATGTTAAGTTTAGTAGATGTACAGGCACGAAGCACACTTTAAACCCTCCATGACCGACTCGCGCAGACCCAATGGGCTCAATATGACGTCGTCCATGCTCCTTTTCAGGTTTACCCGTTGAACCCGTAAGTCAGCGAGGCCGTTCCCCAACGTTTCTAAGACGATCAAAATAAAGTCATGCCCGAGCTAAACGTGAGGTATAAACTCCGAAACACGCTTCAAGAGCAGTTATATATATATATGAAACATCAAGAAAGCTTCATATTCCCGTTCAATGGGTAGGGTTTCTAAATATTCGCATACAACTGTAAAAAAAGTGGAAATTTGAGACTTGAGAATTTACTAAAAGAAACATTTAGGTTTTGGGACCTTTTGAATACAATACTTGTTATTTTTTACGTTTCATTTAGGTTTATTGTCAATAAACTTTGGCAAGACAAATTTTATGTTATACCAATAATTTAACCAGTTTCATTTAATGAGTTACCTATGTAAAACACTACGGGTCCGTTTTCCCCTCTCATGCCCTATACACTTTGGGTAAAAAGGGGGCCACTTATGTGAAATTCTAAATATACTTGTTACTATGGCAATGACGTACGCTAGTGATCCACAATACATTAAATACATTTATGATAGCACACACTTCATGTTGAATGTCTGTAATGTACACTTCTAATATTATTGGCTATGAAGGTTTGGGATACCCTTATATCTCAATCTCTTAAGCTTTTAATTTCTTTTGATTTTGAAACAGATAAAACTTTTACTATCAAAATCGTGTGGCACAACTGTTATCCTTATTGCAAGAGTTACTATCTCAAAATGATGTTGCCGAATGAACATCATCATCCTTGTGATTCACGCGTAGACGCGTTGGTGTATTCCTTATGTCTCACAACCTTAAGCTTATTCAATCCAGAAATATCCTTTAACCTTGATGGTTAGCCTCCTTGTTTTCCTTCAAAAAAAATCTTCCTAACCTTGATGATAGTTTCCCAATTTGTTTGCCTTATAATAAAGCCGCAATGCTTATTATTTTAATTTTCCTCCTGAAAGTATTTTCGTAAGCTTAATGGTTAGTCCCGTGACTTTCCTACTCTAAAAAAACCCAAGTTCCTCCATTTTCCTTCTAAAATACCCTTTTAGTCGTAATCAGCAGCCTCCCGTTTTTTCCTTCCAAAAATATCCTCCTAGCCGAGATGCCTTCTTTCGTAAAAATTTTAATCCTCTCTGAACAGGCTTATTCAGGTTCTCCCTTGCCTAACAACATCTTGTCCCATTTCTTGCCGAGATCGACAAAGTCTAAATGGTTTTATCCATATACAGTCGTCTTTCTCATAATGGCATACTAATGAAGACGGTATAAATCTCCTCCATTCCGCGCCAATAGCTTACAACGTTTGACATATCGCTAGATATGTCGTAGGCCAAGTAGGGCCTTATGTCCACTTCCAAATGAACATATCCCAACTAAAGTAGAGAACTGGGCTTCAAAATTGAGGGGATCGTTATCTTGAAATTGTATACACCCAGACGTCTTTGCATGACGGATATCACCGATGGCGGGTTGGACCGTTTCAATTTATCATCATCATCACTGAGCATGGACCACTTTGAGTGGCGAGCCAACTGAAGGCAGACACATCTCTCTCTCTCTTGTCGCCTGCCAATGACCAATAGCCAGTGATGATGTGACTCCCGATTGCCTACATCGGAGTGCCAATTTTGTACTTTGCACAAACAGTTGCAAATATCTTAGCTTAATTATCACCAATGTAACAGTCTTATTTACGAAACACATTACGAAACGGGAAATTACGCTTTTTCTTGTGGAACCCTGCACTTAAATTGAAGAATCCAAAATCAGCCAGATTGAACTGATGCTTCCTTTCTGCACGTTTTGACATCACACTTGTTTCAGTATATACTAGCAATATTGATCAAGCAGTTGTCATCTGAATGCTACAGGACACAGATTCCGTTGCTACACTTAGCCCAAATACTCATGAATTAAAGAATGACACGTGAAATGTCAAGATGTGCGGAAAGAAATACTGGTTCCATCCCACTTGAATATTTTCCGATGGATTCTAAGAGTTAAATGCAGGGTCCAGTGGAAACGGACATTTTGTGACGTGCATAATTCATTTCCGCATCACGCAAAATGGATTCACACTAACCGAAACTTATTGCAAACTGTGGAGCATTTGCGGAGGGATGGGACAGACGGGGGAGTAGGGGATGAGAACCAAAGAATTAAACAAAATTTAAAAAGAACAATAATAAATAGCAAACTTGATTTAATCTAAGCTTAATTTGCATTCGCTACGATTACATTCACCGTTTCATATTGAAACAAAGACCCCTTGACGTCAAAACGACGTCAACAGTCACGCCGTGTGCACCAGCAACGCACGTCAATTTGAACTAATTACAGTAGGCCTAGACCATATTTTTCAAGCTTTATCCCCTTATGTATACACGTACTTATACGATTCATTGTGACAGCACCCTCTTTACATGCGTACCAGCCTCTCCGCACTAAAGGTTAACGATTCGTCTCTAGTCATGTTAGTAATTGTTCGTGTCGTACACAGTGATTCGTTGTGTGTTGTGTCGCATGTGTCGCTGAATAAACTACAGGAGGGTTTTGGAACCAAGACTAGCAAAAAGTAGGCATTGTGAGGATAAACACCAGCGATGGTTGGTGTCTGTTTTTAGTTATATCGTTTTAGGGATGACCTTTGAAAGAAACGACCGAATTCCAAACCAAAGTATCCTATATGTTGTCAGGGTCCACGCAGCGTTAATTAAATGAGTGCAAATGTATTTACAATTTTGACATCATTGGACTGGACGATGGTGGACAGTGAAATATACCACACAAAACTCGCCTTTCTCCCATATTTATTAATTGTTCAAAAGATTAGGGTTCCAGGGGAATTGCCAACCCCCCGACGGATCCGTCCTTGTTTCGTGGCAGATGGCAAGTCCGTAAGAAAACACACGTACGTACCTTGAAAAGGGACTAAGTCACGCGTAGAGTTCCTGTCTGGGTCCTTCTCCGAGCATTTTCCGACTGTTCTTAAACCACGTACAGCGTCACGTTTTCCACGCTCTGCGGGATACACCTTGTATATGGACTTGGGAAAAGGACTCGACTACAGCGCTGTACAAATTGGTATGACCCGAAGTTCTTCCACAAGGTCACTAGAAGAAGCTCTTGTGACCTGACCTTAAGCATATTGTCTGATTTAACATCTGGTTCTGAGCCGAATTCACCCCAAATTACGCGATGAAATATTCTGAAGAGATCAACAACTATTAAAAGGGTAAACTGTTATACCCTTCAATAACCGAAGATATTCAGTGCAAGCAAGGGATGGTGTAGTCTAACTCACCTGTCAGAATACAAGAGTTCTGAAAAGAAAAGAGACAGAGAGATAAAAATGTAAACTGCCGGCCGTGGGCGACAATAGGATTGCAGGGGGATGCTCTCATCTGCAGCTATGCTCATGCCCTTTCCTTGTACGGGACCTTCCCTGCATTCTCACTCTAGATTCAGTCTGCATGTTTAAGCATGCCCCAGACTGCCTCCTGCAGTACGGTGGGGGTCAACGAAGGTCCAAGGGGGACCATCAGGACCCTGGCTCGTTTAACGTGATTGAGCAGGCCAAGAACCGTCGTTTGCAAAGTCGTTAGACGTGACTGGAGAGGAGAAAAAATACGTGTACATGTACTTGTCTATTCAGGAACTGGGGCACTCCGCTCACAGAGCTCAGACTGGGCAGGCCGGTACAAAGGCGCGGTCTATCTCCAAACACTAAACTTTGAAAATGGAATTTTGTACCGTGAGCAACTTTCTGATCCTGATTCTACTTCTTGGAACGGCAAATGGTCTCCCCTGCAACGGACCCAAAGGGGTAAATTTTCCTTCCACATTCCGTCTTTTTTCCTTTTTTTAAATTATTGCATGGAATATAGGCCTACACTTCCCCTCAAGTGCAATTTGTTTAGAGTGAAGAATGTTTGTATACGTATTGTATACATTCCCAATTTGCTAGTGTACATTTTATTCCGTAAAACTGTAAAACATAAATATGCTTTTCACCTTATGCTTATCTTTAAAGTATTGCTAAATTGTGTCAAATGCCAGTTATTCTCATGATCAAAACCCGCACGTAGTCTTTAGTCAAACTGTGAGTGCATTTTGGCACAATGTTTTATACACGTGATTAGCTTCTGGACTTGCCTGTTGAAAATTAGCCAATGGATTCCCCTGAGTCACAAAGGTATTTAAAATGGCAGACTTCAAATAGCATCTCCATGGCATAATGATGAGATTGTACATAAAATGGCGAAAATTCCGCTGTGTGGTTTTGCGTCTCAAAAACGATTTACTCAGTATTACGAAGTGTGAGTGAAAAAACTGCTTCCTGTTTATCCCATCTAAAATGATTACGGTTTATTATACGCGGTCGAATGCATATATTGCAGCCAAAACCTAACCCGGACAGTTGGTGATATTTTGAATAGATAATCATTAGTCTGTACTTATTTGTTGCTTTATGTTGTTCAACCACTCCGCATGCAGCCGTTATGCCTACAACCGCGCTGCATCCAGACTACCGCCGACATTCTGCGTGTGATGGATCTGGACGCCGACCCGTGCCAGGATTTCTACCAGTTCGCCTGTGGTAATTTTGCCAAGGTGTCGGAGATTCCCGAAGGCGAGACTAGATGGACACCCATTCGGCAAACTCAATATCAAAACCAAAAACTTGTGCAGAAGGTATAAGAATTGCAGTTGGACTTTTACCTCTGGTTTTTAACTGATTACAAATGCATAGCCACGCCCCTTAAGGCAGATGATATGAGATGCCAAATAGATCGCACAGGAAATGAACTACTATAAATCACTTCTAGCCTCAACAATAGGGAAGTTTAGCTCGGCCAAAGATTGTTCATGATTTTCTCAAATGCTTCAGATTCAAAATTTTCACACCGTCTTTGAACAGGAATACCGTTTGTAAATCTTGTTTTACTTGTGTCTTTATTACTTGATAGTTCCTAGAGCAAGATGGCTACAATTACAAAGGAGTTAGAAGCGAGGCTCTGGTGAAGGCCAAGACCTATTTTCGGACTTGCATGAACCAGACATTCAAAGCGGAGAATGGTTTCGACCCACTGTTGCAAGTGAGATCTTGGATTTATTCAAAGCTGACTCGCTTGAGTCACCTGTTACTTTGAAAATATTCAGTGCCCTCTCAGCAATTTTAACAGCTAGCTTCAATACACAGTCAAAGAGGGTCTGGTTTTCCTCAGCTCTTTGCCTGAAGTGGTGTCAATTTTGTAGGGGGGTGGAACCCTTCAAAAATATGTACAAAAATGGCTGCATTTTTGAGTCACTTTACAGTAGTTCTTGAGGTCTTGCCTCAGCCTCCATCCGCCGATTAACTGATGTGGGCCTGGCTCTCTGGTAGTTTCATTGGACTTCTAAAAGTGGTTTTCCCATTTGCCGGGAATTATAGATTGGGTGATTAGGAAAAGGTCTGGCGCACTTGTTCACGTAGCTCGGCATCTAGCTGCCTGTTGACCCTTGTGTAATACTGAAGTCGTTACCCTGGATCCCGCTTGGCATGTCATTTTCCAATACGGCACCTTGAACTGCCTCTCCTGCAATCCCTGAGGGAGTTTCCTTTCCTTTCCCTTTCAGCTCATAGATTCCGTCGGTGGATGGAATCTCCTACCAGAACGCGGCAGCGCCGTTGAGGGCGACATTTCCCGTCTCGCCTATCGGTTGGCGGAGATCTACAACTTGGGCATCCAGCTGCTGTTTGCCATGGACATCGGCCCAGACGACCACAACTCCAGTCTGAATATCGTCCAAGTGAGTTCCACAAACTCAGCCAATTATTAAACCGCAATATCTCTAACGTCTTATTTTCCAAAACGCACAATAAGATCTCTTGGTAAGCATTGGTTTTTGTATTTTCTCAGTTTCAGCAGTACGGCCTGAGCCTCCACCAACCTGGGTACTACGAGGAATCAGTAAGTTTTATAAGTTGCCAGAATACAGTTACTTTAATTAAGGGATCGTTTTTCTATCAATCTATTTGACCTCACTTTGTTCCCATTTTTGATAAGCGTCATTATTGTCAAAGCATAATTCGCTGATTTTTCTCGCGTTTGGCAGTGGATGGCTTACATGGCTGTCCACTGGTGGAGTATCACAACGTTCACCGGATAATCTTTGCCTGTATTTTTTTTATCTCAAAAACAATGCAACCAAAATTCACAACCTACACTTTTTCTTAGAACTCACCACAGGTTGATTTTTTTTTTTTTTTAGGTTTTTTGAAGATATTTACGGGCTTTCGTAGCTTTTAGCGAGATTTGTTGCCGATGGAGTTGTAAAAAAACTGCAGAGATTGTACGGCGCTTGTTCAAAAGGAATGTCACGAAAATAGTACCGATTTTTAAGTTAAAAGTCTACATGGGTCACAGAGGGTTTTGCGAGATCCTGGTGCGATCCTATAGACCATAGTCTGAGGGTCACTTTAAACCTGCTTCGAAGACATCGTTTGGTTAGTTGGCAGTTCAATAATTTCAACATTTTCACAAGTGAGATACTTCACGATGTGATGGTATTATTGTTTACCAACACAGCTCTATCATGATTATATTCCCTCGTTACTCTTCAGAAACGTGAATTGCTCGATGCTTTCGTTGACCTCGGCGTCACGGTGATGACTTTGCTCCGTGACCCACGCAGTCCCAGGGAGCTTGTCGAGACACGGGTGGACGCGAGGTCCCGGATGGAGGACATTGTGGAGTTCGAAAGAGCAATGAGCAGGGTGAGGCTGAGTGAAACCGTTTGTCCGAGAGTTTTCTGTTTTCTCATTTTCATCTGATTAAAACAAGCTTCAGGGCTGTCTTAATTTCAGCTAATTTCAAATCGCAAATTTATGGTTAAATACATGTATGTATCATCCAAAGAAGTGACCTTGATTTTGAAGCTATTTCTGCACGAAAATTTACTACAAAATAAGACACCTTGGTGTCGTAAATTGTCTTACTAGTGGCAATTCAATGTTGTTTCATACCCACGCAGGACAGTAGGCCAGTGAGCAAACTTTCCTCACAAATATTTTCAATGATTAAATTTTAGGTTAACGTTTTCAACCGACAGTAACACTACCGTCATATGTCAGGAAAGTCAAAAATATCTTTTTCAGTCAGATGTCAGAAGGATGTAAAACTCGTATAAGCAGAGGTATACAGTTGCGCAAAATATATGTCATGGCGGTTCAAAATAATAACACTGTCATGAAACTATTGCAGTTTATGAGCAGGACAGTGTCTTCCACATCCAACCGTTTGTTTTTGGATTTGTGGCATTACAGTTATTTGTCCCGTTCCCAAAACTGCAAGATCCTCTCGCCATTAACAACAAGATGTCCCTGCAGAAATTTGCGGACATGATGCCGGACTTCGATCTGCTGGGCTACGTGAGGCATGCCTTCGGCCGGGATATAGGCAGCGACCGGGAAGTCCTGGTCTACACCCCAGCCTACTTCCGGAAACTGAATGACCTGCTCAGAGACACTCCGGACAGGTGCAGTAAAATGGTGGATCCAGAACCAAAATTCAGGGGTCTGTTGTTCGGCGGGGAGCAGTGGCGCACCGAAGGGGGGGGGGGGTAGGGGCTTGTGGGCCCCCTCTTCCGGTTTATTTGTTTGTTGTCTGTTTGTTTTCTGAAAAGCGAAATTACAATGCTCAACTATATTTTAATCACTTCTCGCCGGATGACAGGTAAACACACACACTTTTCCTTTATTTTAATACTTTATCCACGGAGGAAGACGTACTAATATATCGTGCCTAGTTGGGCCAAAAGGCGGAAGATGATCCTGCACGCGGATGCTGCTACCATCCTCTATGCTGCTACTAAGTGGAGCCCCCCCTCCATCCACCCACCCACAATAATCCGGAAATGCCTTTCATGAGAATCAGAATTGAATTGGGTAGCCCACACTATACACAAAAGAACTAAGGGGTTAAGCCTCGGGAGCGAAACAAGACTTACAAAAGAGGTCAGGTTTAACATCCCAACTAGCAACTCCTTTGTATAGAAATATGTGTTCTAAAAACACACATGGCCACGGGTGACGCCTGTATGCGCTTTGGACCTTTTTGCATGTGAACTGCTTTTCAAGCAACGCGCTGAAAAGAAGACACCACTGTGGAAAATTACGGGGGCGCAATCCATTCCAAAAAGGCATTCTCATTAATCTTTAATAAAGGATTTTCAGTCGCGTGATTTTTGACATACGTTCAATTTACACAGATAGGTTATAGGTTATAGGTTATGGACCTTTGCGTGTGAATTGCTTTAGTCTGGACACGCGCCATATTTTTCTACTAGGGCAAATGGCCGGAACTCGGTAGTTATGCCTCCCTTCATGAGCGCCAGAAATCATTTGCGACAGCAAAATACGCCCAGAGAAGAAGAAAACCTGACTATAACTGGTTATAAATGCATTCTGATACTAGCCCTGATTAAGTCTGTAAATCCAAGCCTGCTGTGATGCAACGAAGGGGTGGAGGTTGCTTGGGAATCAGTGGCTATTCCATACCAACCCTCCCAACAACATATCCTGCTTACGCTATGGATCGAGGTAGAGCAAAACTGTAGCCCTCGTTGTCCTTTTTGTATGTTGATGCTGCATTTAGGGGCTTTTGTCTTTAATGCAGGCATTGGGATGGAAGGGAAATTTCGACAGTTCTCTGGATCTGTTGATTCTCAATATATTCAGAAATAAACATAAATTACGCCATGGGGACCATGATTCCCTTTGACCCCTGGATCAGCCTACTGGTAGAGTGAATCGATAGACCGAGGTGGCCTTAGCAATACAAGTAATGTATAAATTGTACACATCTCCCTATTTTACCCATATTAAGAGCCATTTCACGTAAATACCAGACCTATGTGTCCACGGTTTTTCATACTTTTTAGGATGAAACAGTTTGGGGCGCAATTAAACAAAAAAGACTTTTCAAATTCATACATAGCCCCTTGCTATGGAAACAGCTCATTTTGTGGTTTGGGGCATATTAAGCCAAATTAGGGCTCTGAAAAACTGGTTTTTAGCTTATACTTAAAAGTCCACCTAACCAAAATACAAAAATATTCCACAGCTCCACTTATATCACTTTAAAGGATCACCCTTGCCTCTGTTTCAGACAAACCATTATCGCTTTAAGTGTCACCCTTATGCTCTTGTATCAGCTTGCATCGAAGTTTGTTTTTAGAACTTGCGAAATTGACAGTATAATCTTCTCTGTGCCCCTCAAAACGTCAACTTGCCAGAGATCTCAGAATATGTTCCTGTAGTTAAGATTAGGGCCAACATTGTTCTTTTCATATGGGGATGAGAAAATCGTGGGCAATGTATCCTGCTGTGAAAGTTTTGCCTCGTCATTTTTTTCAAAATACAGAAACCCCTTGCTTTGGGATTTCCCTTAGTTTGAGTCAATAATGAGGCAATTTCTCCTATGTGTGCGTCAAATGAAATAAAATATTCTCGCTCTTCATGGGCCACTATATCCCACTCATATGAAAAAAAATGGTGGCCAATACATGCACAGAATTAATGCTACTTGCCACGTAGATGATGGCGGATCTTAAAGTTTTCCAGCAACACGCTGAAAAGAAGACACCCCTGTGGTAAATTACGGCATTCCTTCCCAAAAGCCATTCTCATTAATCTTTAATAGAGGATTTTCAGTTGCGTAATTTGTGACATGCGTTCAATTTACACAGACGTGTGCGGAAACGCGCCCGCTTTCGAAGTCTCTCAAAATTCTTGCGTAAATGAAATGGCCAATAGAAATACCCAGATTCTAAAATCCCCCGCCTACACGAAAATAGAATGTTTCCTAAAATGCCCTTGCTAGTCAGGTTACTTCACGTGAAAAAGCTCAGTAGAGGACATGAGGACAACTTTTACCCAGTGGATTTGCACTATGTGAGGACAATGGCAGTAATAGGCCTACTTAGGGGGGTGGTCACAGTCTCTCCATACTACAGAACTCTACTGTAGCTAATAAAAGGCACAAATGTAAAATGATTAGAGAACAGAAGGTTTTGTTTATATTGAAAAGTAAATACATCCATGTTTCAACCAAAAAGGTCATAAAGATTCCCAGGGCCAATTAGTCTGTCCGTGAGAGGGAAATGTAGATTTTCATCATGTCTTGAGAAACTTTTAGAATTTTTGTTTAAAGAGGATATATATGGGCCATTCTGAGAGACATATTAAAAATTAGAATGGTACGGTAGCGTATAAAGGGCCACGTACAAAACATTTCCTGTATCTATCTCGGCGTGGCGAGTTACTATATCGCAGCGGGAGATAGAAAATCGAAAATATGCAATTGGCCTTTACATGTTTCCGTAGAATGGCAAGTTTTCCGATTTTGGGAAAATTGGATTATTTTGATCGGCTCTTGCGTCTGTAGTCTTCTCTTACGTCCTGAGTAATTTCTACTCCAGGGTACTGGAAGATTACAGCTTGCTCTTCATGACGCGGAGTTACATCAAGTACCTCCCTGAACCGTTTCGGGAGGCACAGAAGAAGTACATCAACGTGCTTACGGGGGCCACCAAGCGGCCGACGCTCCTCGACCAGTGCTTGAAGGAGGTCGACCGAACGTTTGGTGATGTGACGGGCGCCCTCTTTGTGGAGGAGAAGTTCTCCGAGGCTGCAAAGCGAAAGGTCTGTACGCTTAAAAGTATCGTTTTAATTAGAGTGGCCTGCAAGGGATGTCGTACATGGCCTCTCTTGCGACACGACAGAAAAAGTGCTTGTAATTGTGTCGAAATGATGCAGTGGAGTGGGGTTCGCTTGTCTCCGCTGCCTTATTTAGGGGGATGCAATAGGCTACGTTTTGTCAAGGAAGTGTAATATAATGATACACAGAGCACTACCGGGCCACAAGCTACGATATAAACGCAGGCTTATACCGTGCGCATGGATCATGGTACAAGGAAGTGTTGACGTGTGCTTTTGACTGAATGAATTCTGTCCAATGAGGGCTCAAAGAAATTACGTCATGCATCCTGGAGAAAAACAGCGATCTAAGAGATCGCGTTAGAGCTAGTAGGGACGAGATGGATGAGGTTATAAAACAGAATGGCCAACTTTGTATATGACATCTGCAATGAGTAACAGAGTTCTTAAAGTAACGCCTGCTAGAGGAACAAGTCATTGATGACAAAGGCAGGTTGGGTAGACCACAATGGACGCCATGCCGCCATGTCTTAACTCCTCGGTGGCATCATCAAGACCGCCATGGTGTTGCAAATTGGGCACTGTCTGGTCCTCCATATATAAACGATAAGCAGAGTTTCGTGCCAAGACGTGTGGACTTTTTTTTTTAATCACAGGAGTCACACAATGAGAACCCTCCCATTAGTGTGAATAAAATAGTAATGATTGCACTTAATTGAACCTCCTTTTGAGTAGACAGAGGAGATACTGGGATACATACGGGCTGCCTTCCTTGAGAACTTACCACGGGTTCGCTGGTTGGACAAGAAGGCTAAGGTCATTACTGGGGAGAAGGCTAGAGCCATGATCGTGAAGATTGGCTTTCCAGACTGGATTCTGGACCCAGCACAGTTGGATAAATACTTCGAAGGGGTAAGTAAGAACATTTGAATGTTTGTGGCTCCTATAAAATTGTATTCCTAATCGTTGCATACCGCTTTTCAGTGTCAAGCGCGAGTCCTGAAAGCTGGATGGGTTCCTTGTGAACAAGATTTCTGAACGAAGCTCTAAAGGTGACATATTTGGCGAATATTTTGTCCCGTGAATGGACTTTCCTCTTGATTGGTAATGGCACTAAAGGGTTGACTTTCTCAAGGAGTGTTACCAATGGCCCCTTCGCTTAGAAAATGCAGTCAGGTAAATGATCTCCTCGTGGATGCAGGGCCCAGAGGTCCCGTAATAAATAGTTCGGATTCACGATACCGCTACACCATCTATCTCAACGGGGAAGCCCGCAGGTGTCGCATTATCCGAGGGGAAAGGTCGACATGGCCCACCAACACCCATGCAGTCGCGTTTCTAGGAGGCATGGGGCAAGTGCCCTCAGCATAAGTTCTTTTCTCTCCTTAAAGTGTGAAAAACTTTTCTACAACCAAAGTTGAGTTACTTTCAGATGAAATTCAGCATTCCTGTCTAATTACGCTACTGGCATCGACGCTGTAATTCAGTGTGCCTTGTAACCGCTTTCACGACCAAACACGGCAACTATCCTATCTTTCTCTTGTACTCGGGATGCTGCGACCATTTCAACATTGATCGACCCATCGACTCCATCGATTTTTCTTGACGGATGTTCACCGTTTTCAAAGAGCTACCGTACAGCCGGGAAAGCATTGGGTATAGCCGCAAATAGTTAAATACCTATGTCGACTCGTGAGATGGAGGGAGACATCTTCGTATACAAAACATTGGGGCTTACCTTTTTAATTGCTGTGGGGACAAACGTTGCCATGTTATGAACTGCTCCTTGGAAAAGAAAACGTTTTTGATACAAGGATTCATAATGGAAAAGTTCTTTGTTCAAATGACTCGTTATTAATTATTAGGAAGATCATCCTGTTGTGGGGTCTTTCACAAAATCATATCATCTCAATTCTGTCGTTTTGCCCCAAACAATCAATAATGTTTACATCTTTATGATCAAGCATTAAGAGTGTAAATAAGGGGAAGGCACTGCCAAAGATTTGAACCATGCACAATTCTCTATAGACCCATGTCGAATTAGTGTGTCAAGTCGAGTCCAACACAAGTCTCTGCAAGTCCATCCCAAATCCAGCACAAATCATCTAAAGCCACAAGCAGATTATGAACTATGACAAAAGTATTCCTTTGGTATTTTTCTACCAAGCCAATTCTATGATTGGTTGCATGAAAGAACTTGTGAGTGTACTTGTTAGCGGACACGACTTCAACACTGTTTCGAATTAATCTTACCAACGAAGAACCCCTCGTTTCCGTGAAAACCATGCTCGCTCAATCTATAGTGAGATTGATGAAAATTATGATTAGGCCTAGTCTCCTGACCAAACATTTCTAGCCGTTTTCAATACAGCTTCTTGATCATCCAGCATTGAATCGAACACATCAGGGATATCAGTTGGAGTCTATGATAAACAAGCTTGACATCTAGGTTAATTCCTGTGATTTTCCTAATCTATTTACTAGCGAGTATTTCGTTCTGATTTTTTAACAGCTCCATGTATCGGCGGATAACGCTCTTCAAAATCAGGCTAACTACAAACGTTTCTTATATGTAAACATCTCAGAAATTCTCGATTTTCCGGTGGACAAGAACAGGTAATGTATGTTAAAGTTGGCATCCTTAAACCAAGTAAATAAAGCTACAAATTAATCTAATAATATGCTTGAATGAACCTTATGGGGGTCTTGAGGAACTGGTATCCGGTTTGTAAATGACTTAGTCAAACATGTGCACGCACCAATGACCGCAAGCCTCCATTTTTCATTGGATGAACACTCAAGTTGCTCGTTAACTTCCGGTCCCTTAGTTCCATGTAGCTCTATGTGTAGTGGGCGTGGTTTAAATTGAAGTGACGACATGAACCGGATGCATCTCAAGCATTGACACACTTTCCTAATATTTTGCAAGAAATGTTCTCTTCTTTGTAAATCTGATTTTTTTTCTTCCAGTTGGGACGTCAGCCCAGGTAAGGTGAGTGCACAATACGACTATTCGCGCAACGAGCTGGTGTTTCCTGCCGGCATTCTGCAACCACCGTTCTTCAGCAATGATCTGCCGGCGTAAGTCATTACGAGAGCTGGGTATAGGCCGCCTCCCCCCCTCCAAACATGAACCATCACTGCAAAGCCATTGCTTGCATGACTGTCCTTCAGCAGGTTTTTACTAAACGACAGATGAACACACATAGAAATAGCTGTATCAATTCACTATTGTACAAACGCCTGGTATAGGGTGTCGCATACCAGTAGGTGTGGGCGAGTAGTGAATCAATAAATAGTCGCGACTAGACGAGATTATTTCATTGTTTATTTGTCCATTAAAAATCATGTCCGCGGTTGCATAACATAACACGGGGTTAATTTGGGATGATGTCACACTGTGTTTCAATATTTCCGTTTAGATGGTTGGACTTTTGCGCTATCGTGAAGAAAATACGAAGCTGTTTTTAAGATAAAAACTGTCTTC